TTCGAGAGCCAACAAGCCGCCGAGCTGCGCTGAGGAGGGACTTTCTGTTTAATGGAGCTCAGGAAGTGATGGAGTTTCAATCACAGTCGACATAAAGACACCCGGATGTCAATGTGGCATTGATCTGTCCGACCCTCAGTCATGCCTCGCAGCACCGACTCACTGGCCTCCATTAAGAGTCCAGACTGGCAGCCTGGCCCGACAGCAGAGCTCATTAAACCGGGGTAATTGAATTGGTGGCTTCCTCCTTTCCAAAGCACGGAGGAGAAGGTCTAAATTTAAGAACCACCAGGACAGAAAAGTGCCAGAGAGAGAGAGAGAGAGAGAGAGAGAGAGAGACTCTCAGAGACAGAGAGAGAGAGAGACACAGAGAGAGAGAGAGAGAGAGAGAGACACTCAGAGACAGAGAGAGAGAGAGAGAGAGACTCTCAGAGACAGAGAGAGAGAGAGAGAGACTCTCAGAGACAGAGAGAGAGAGAGACACAGAGACAGAGAGAGAGAGAGAGAGAGACACTCAGAGACAGAGACAGAGAGAGAGAGAGAGAGAGAGAGAGAGAGAGAGAGAGAGAGAGAGAGGGAGAGAGAGGTGAAATATTCCTGAGCAGCTCCTGACACACACAGATACCAGCTGCTGTCCCGTCCACCGGGTGGACATGGCGGGCTGAGCCAGCACTGCGTCTTGCATATGAAACAGGACATGGGCCTATATCCCCTCAGAGAGTTCACTTCCTCTGAGCCGAGCCCCCCCCCGCCCTCCTGAAACAAGCAGCCCCTTCAGCTGGAGGCCAGATATCCCGAGCGGCTCCTCGGGGTGGGGGTGGATGTGGATGTGGAAGTAAAAGGGGAAGTTTTGGCTCCTGCACATCAGAGAGTGGAGGCCAAATATTTCAGTCCAGTGATTCAGAACCAAAATGTTTCTTCTCCTTTTTCACAATTTCAGGACTGAAAAGTTGAAAGTTACAGATTCAGTTTGAGCTCGTTGATCGAGCGCCCACATGATGAAGCATGGAGGCAGCGTGCAGGAATGTGCAGCAGGTCGGCAGCACGGTAACACAACATGTGTGGAGCATGGACTCAAAATGGCTTCTACACACACTTCATTGTTTCTGACTGAATTCTTTCCAAACATCTGTAGGAGTGACAATAATATCTTGATCTTTGATTCGTCTACCTTAATCAGGGACCAGACTGGAAATATGAAATATTTCATCTTCAAATGTCTTTTTTATGTCCAACCAACAGTCCAACATCCACAGACTCTTCATTCACTGTCATCAATCACAAGTGAAAGCAGGAACATTTAAGACGCTGGAAGCTGCAAATGATTTGAAGGTTTGTTTTTAAAATGACTCATCACCTCAGGATTCAGATTAAATGTTTAGATGAAGATGAAATCTGGATCTGTCATTAAGTTAATGTGTGCACACTGGAGATGACACATCCTGGTGAGCAGATGAGTTCAAGTCTCCTTCCCGTCGATGTGAGCACTGACCTGATGTCTGACTGTCTGCTTCTATCTGCAGCTGAAACAAACTGAGCGTGAGACTGGAGCAGGATCCTCGCCCTCTAGGAAGGCACCAAAAAAAAGAAAACGTCTGACGTAAACTTGCTGGTTTTGAACCAAGCATGAGTCAAGCTTGAGCTGGCTCGACTGTAAGCACCCCCTCCTCCATCCGTCCCCATTTTTCTGTTTCATATCTCCCTTAAACAGACGGACTGTGCAGAAATCACATCATCTTGAGGGCGAATTATAAAGTTAGCGACATTCTAAATCTGCAGCCGCAATCCTTATCTAAACATCCTGATGCGGAAAGCCGCTGATTATGTGTGCCACCCACATGTGTACCAGCCAGAAACCAGAGGACTCGCAGCCAGCGGCTGGCAGGAGTCGCCCGGGAGAGAAGTTGCTCCACACCCTGCACATAAACTCATTTAAACAATTCAATAGCTCGCTGCGTTTCTGTTTACAATCAGCGCCGTGGCTCACATCCTCCCCGATAAGAACTCAGAATGAACTTTTGCCGCAAACTCTCAGTGCAGGCTCGCTGCATATAAAAAGCAGTTTTTCCTTTAAATGGTGTGTGATTCAGATAAAGCATCGTGTGTGCGTCTCAGAAGGAAGCTCTCAGAAAGTGTCTGCGAGGAGGGAAGTGTGGCAATATCACTTCCTGTGTCTGTCTGCATGCGAGACTGCTGCTAACACTTCTGCAAAGCCTCATTAATATTCACAAAGCCGTTCGGTCTCCGCGCCTGACAGCACGCACATGATGGCGTTTTTTCCTGTGCGCTGAGAGGTAGAAGGCAGCAGCAGTCTGGCACTTCGCCTCACATCGAAGCGGGAACATTTTCAAAGTGTGTCGGCTGAAACATGCTGACAAAGAGCGCCATGGATTCAGAAATATTCCTGAACTCCTGCTTGGCGGGTACTCGCTCATTAGTGTTTTCTGAAACAGGGTACTCCAGAGGGAAAGAAAGAGAAGTCGATTTAAAAAGCGGGCTGAAATGAGCCGGGGGGCTTAACACTTGGGTGCCCCGTCGGCACTTGTAAAAATAGAAGAGGCCCCTGGAAGCGGGGGGTTCTCGAGGTGTGCCCACTCGAGCCTGAATGAAAGTGTGTGCCAGGAGTGGGTATTCACCATGCATGGCAGGACTTTGGCTCTCCTCACGACTTCAAGGGTCTCCCTGATTTCTCTTTCTTTGGAGGACTTCTGTGAAAGAAGCTTCAGAGCTCCGCGGGGATGTAAACACTCTGTAGTTACTCACCGAGCCTCATCAACAAGAGTTCAGATACGCAGAGCAGGCAGTGTCAGAAAAGCTCCAAGTGTGACCTCAAATGTACGATTAGGTGTTAAAAGAGTATACCTGCCCCTTTGACAAAAAATACCATCACCTCAATGATCCACTCGTTTGAGCAGAATTATTCTTCAACGCTCCAAAACAGCAGCCTAAACTAAGTGCACACTGCTCTGCGCCGCCACCATGGAGGTGTTACTGCTGCCACCCACATCTACTTTGATAAAGCGGCAAAGAAGAACGCGTCCTGGTGATTAAACACACGATCGTTACAAACAGAAACATCGCAGTAGCAGTGTGTAACGATGGTCACAGCACCACCGGAGGCTTCAGCAGACACCACCGACCAAGCCGAGCTGCAGCCGACACTACCTGACTTTGATGATAGGTGCTGTGTTTGCCTTTAAATTTGAAACCCTTACACGTCATTGGTTTGCAAGGTTTTGAAAAATAGCCAAATGATCTGCAGCGGTCCCGTCTTCACCACAACAAACGACCAGGAAATTAAAAACCAGTAAAAAAAAACACACTGCATTAATCTGCTTTATGTTTTAAGATGTTTTTCTCCAATGCTCGAAACTCCCTCCACTCTGAAAGTTCCCTGCGCAGGTAAAACAACCACAATTGTAATCACATCACACCTGTGTGCATAACGTTGCATGCATCAGTACTCGGTATCAGCGGCTCAATAAATGAAGGTGTCAGGAGGGAAAATGATGTCAGAGCGTCTCTCAATCATCGGCAGTATAGGTGAAGTATGTGAGTGTGTCAGAGGTGGGTGGTTTTCCTGGGTGGATGTGAGGGGGGGGGGGTCTGATGTTTGCTGAATGCTCCCCTTTGTTGGGATCATATTATGTTTCCACCACAATACTTCTAAACCCTGCTTCATCAACTCCATTCATGTGTAACAGTTCATGCAAATGGCTGCACTAGCCTTTTTTTCAGGGGGGAGGGGAGGGAGGGGGAGAGGGAGGGTTGGGGGGGGATCCCTTTTATCAGACTACCACCCAACTCTACAAACTCCTGCCTGCCTGCACACCAAAGCACAGATTATAATCCCGCTTTTCTAACAGCATTACAGTCAGTTTAGCCCCAAAAGAAACCCAGCAGAGCCGAGCGGGGATGGAACCGGATTCAGTGCTCGAGTGAGAAAAAGTCCCAAATCACATTTTCATAAACAGGAGATAAACTCTTCAATATATCGCCATACATGACAAAGACAATCGGAAAAGCCTCCAACCAACAAATGTCCATTTCTTCGATGATGTGATTTTCAAATGGATTTCCTTGCAATCAGTTAATGGATTAAGTATTTCAGCTTCAGTCTGAGCTGCTTCATGTGGTGACCAATCTAACAGGAAAACAAAGCCAACATCTGATTCTGCAAATATTTTTTTAGAAACAATCAGGAGAATCAGAAGCTGTGAGAAAAACCCCAAGATGCAAACTTAAAGCAGCAGGAAGTGAAAACATGACAGTCTGACACACGGAGAACACAAAGTCAACATGACACAAAGCTGAAGAAATGCAGATTTTTGTCATAACAGAGAACGTCTAAATGTTTCCTTTACATCTGACCTGATGTTTAATCCACACACACACACACCCTCCTCTGACTGTTGCTTCCCATTGAGCCATTTGTTGGTAAAAGAGATTGTATTTACAGTGGAGGCTCATAAAGAGCAGCCTGAGAGGCAGATAATGGCTTTATGACCAGCAGAGGTGTTCTGTTGTCACCGCTGGGTGAGCCTCAATTAGTGACAACATATCAATGATGACCAAACACTTGGTGGTTCCTTCACTGACACACAGACACACAGATTTATCTGAAGATGCATTCAGGGGAAATCGGTCACAAGCCAGGATTAACCATTTATGATTTCCTTTAACTGGGACATTTCAGGGAATCCTCGCTGGGATTCACAGCAACAGAACTTCCTCCAGCTGGAACTATTTCTAGAAATCACACAGAGACTTTTCTCCAGCTCATTTAGTGAGAGTTTCCATAGAGGGGAGGAAACACTGCACAGAGCTGCATCGCAATTAAAGATGGGGGGGGGGGCTTACTTGACTTAAAGAATTTAAAATAAGCTGCAATGCATGAAGCAGATTTTGAGAAGTGGGGGAATACAGACAAACCAGAAAGTAGAGCCTGAATAGAGCTGAATTAGAGCCCCACTGTAAGCTGTTAAAGCATATGGACTCACCCTGGACGAAGCTTTCCTCTTGTACTTCTTGGCGAAGTCAAACTTCTCCTTGATCTCGTCCAGGAGCTGCTCCAGGCGGGCCTTCTCCTCTTTCCCCGTGTAATCCTGGCCGAGGAGGATGTACGCCCTCCAGTTGGCCGAGTCGAAGCCCCAGTGGCAAGTCCTGTTCTCCTGCGCCTTGTGGCTGTGCACCACGAACTTGTGCGTCGGGTACATGAGTCTGCAGTCCATGCACTGGATGCACGCTGCGTTGGGGGTCGTGTACAGCTCCGGTACGAACAAGCCCTTACACTTGCCGAAACACTCGTGGTAGATTTTGAAGCTCCTCTCGGTGAGCTCCAGCTCCAGCACGCCTCCGTTCAGCTCCTTCTTGCAGCGCGGCGGGTAGGCGCCTCCGTAGATCAGGGCGTTGCAGAGCCGCTCCGCGTCCGTCTTGGTGATGAGGCCGCAGGACGGCGCGGAGAAGGGCAGGATCCCCATGACTTTGAGGATCTCCAGCTGGTCCGCCGTGCACCGGGAGCAGTAGATGTGCAGCTCGTCGCACACGGAGTTGATCTGCTGCAGGCTGAAGTCCCGCAGCACCGTGTTGAGAATCTGCGGCAGGCACAGGCGCTTCTCCCCGCCGACCACGAAGCACGAGATGGTCTCGGCTTCCAGCACCGTCTCGCACCTCTCCGTGGATCGGTCCGACGGGATGAAGAGCGGGCCGGGCATCACCGGCGGCGGCAAATGCTGCAGCACCGGCTCGGGCTCCTTCCCGTCCTTCTTGAAGAGGAGCTCATGTTGCCACCGGGCAGAGAAAGCCGCCGGTCCGCCCAGAGAGCTCATAGAGCTGTGTTGAAACTGCTTCAGAGTTTGTTGCAGTCCCGGATGAGGCTGGAAGCTCTGCCGACTTACAGTCTCCATGTTTTTCCTGCAACTTTAGAAGCGTAAATCCTTCTTGGCGTCGACCGGGAATCACGAGTAGTATCTATCCGTTCCTGAACCTGGTAAATCCACGGCGTCCCTGAAGTAAACGAAAAGGCGAAGCGCTTCATCAAACATCCAGTAAGAAAAAGTCCCAGATTACAGTTTTATTCCGAGCCTACAGAGTGAACACCGGCCAGTCGCTCCCTGCAGCGGGGCGCAGACTGTCCATATCCGGAGAAACCCCGGCTCTCCAAACTCCACACGAGAGAAAAGTTCCGTTTGTTGGATTCCAAAGAGAAGTGGGTGAAAATGAAACAAAAGCAGGAGTTGTGGGTCGATACAGCTCGATAAAAAAATCCTTATTTGCGGCTCTTTCCGCTGTCGAGGACTGCAGCAACCCGCTCCGTCTGCCCCCGCAGTTCACTCTGACTGTATGGAGATGAGAAGTCTGAGAGCCAGCCTCTCTCTCTCTCTCTCTCACTCTCTCTCTCTCTCTCTATCCCCCCCCCTCTCTCTCTCTCTCTCTCTCTCTCTCTCTCTCTCTCTCTCTCTCTCTCTCTCTCTCTCTCTCGCCCCCTCCCTCTGTGTTTGTGTGTCTGGCTCAGTCATTGAATCCCAGCCAGGAATGTGAGTGACTCTGCAGGCAGGCTGGGCTCTTCCAGGAACAAGCCATCACCCCCTGCTGCCCTGCAGAGAGAGCGCAAGGAGAAGTGAAGGGAAAGGCTGCGTTCATGTCCCATGGGAAAAAAGCAAACACAACTTTCCCTTGAAACTGTTTTCTCATTAATTCTGCAGCGATCAACAGAGACTAAGTGTAACAGTTCTTTATTTTCAAACTGCTTTGTTCTCCCACTTCATTAGAATTTAAAGGTTAGTCTTGAACTTTTGAATGTCACTCTTTCTTTGGTGTTATTTGAAAGATCAAGATGTGAACAGAGCATAAATTATAAAAACATAAATAAAGGCCACTGTCAGTGATTCCCCCCCCCCCATTCATTCACCCAAAACTTTTACGTCAGAATCAGAGAGAGACTGATTAATCAACTTTGAGGAATGTGCTTTGGTCTTATATGACACAACGGATATGGGAAAAATGAAACTAAATAAACATAAAATAACAAGAAACATATCTATGTTGCAGAGAATAAATTAATATAGAATAAAACTGGATCAAAAATACAACAAATTTCTGTTTTCTGTGCAGGATAGTGCATCATAGTGAACAGAGATTGCACAGATTTCTGTAGGAGGCATGTCAGATAAACCTCCAGTGTGTGAAGAAACATCCAGATGATGAAATATAATTAATGCATACCATCTTTAACCCTAAATACACATTATTATTACTTATTAAAGCAACACAAATACACTTTTGTATTATATATATATATATATATATATATATAAAAATATATATATTATATATACTTTTTATTTTTAAAGATTTATTTTTTGGGGGCTTTTTGTGCCTTTAATGCAGAGACAGGACAGTGGACAGAGCCGGAAACCAGGGAGAGAGAGCGGGGAATGACATGCGGAGGGAGGCCACGGGTGGAGGTGAGCCCGGGCCTCCCGCTCGAGACGACAGCCTTAAGACATGGGACCATTGCGCCACCAGCGCGCCCCCATATTATATGTATTTATTCATTGTTGTTTCACTGAAGTCAATCCTGTTTCAAAATGTAATAGCTGTGTTCTTAATGGCATGAGCTTTTTCTTCTTTTCGGGACCTTTTTGGGAGGGCTGTTTCTAAACGGCGTGACCGCGGGCCCTGTGATTGGACCGCTAGATAGCATTGTATTACCTGTATTTACAACATTTCTGGTATCGGACCTGGGCGTGCAGCCCGGGTTCCCCAATGTCTCTCCCTCCCTGCTTTCAGATTATATCCACTGTCCACACCTTCATTGGAGAGGAAAGCTGAAGAGAGACGGGGAACGTTGGGAGGAGAGAGTGGGGGCAAAGATGCAGCAAAGGGCAGAGGTCGGATTCGAACCCACGGTCGCTACAACGAGGATTACAGCCTCTGTACACAAGGTGATCAGAAACTTTTTATGAATCCCCGAGGAAACATTCTGTGATCATTCAACATCAATACTTTTTGCACATTTATGTCCTCACCAATGTTTCTGTATCTTTATTGCATAATGAGTCTTTGAATGTTACTTTATACATTTCGTTCCCCCTTATAGAACTTTAATGTTTATTCTTTTAGTTTGAGGGTTTTAAAAAAAGGTTTAAAAAGTCAACAGTGATGTTTTTCCGGCTCCATATCCTTCCAGTTATTCGCTGATCTGATGCACTCCCTCTTTTGTGTCACCTGAGCGCAACAGATTCCAAAAGTTCCTATTTCCCATCTTTCCCACAGGCCCTGAACGCTGCAGGAGGATAGAGAGAGTTTCTGTGAATCATTTGGCTGCAGAGAGGATGGGAGGTGTTCTGTGAGACGAGACAAATTTAGCTTTGGAAGGGGAAACGCAAACTGCTCGACTGGCTGCGGTTTATTTATTTTCCTTCTGAATGTGATAAAAAAAAAAAAAAAAAAAAAATAGTTTGGCACGGAGCGGCGAGTAAACAAGTTTTATGTGTTGGGAGACCTTGAGAGACAATCCTGCTAATGAATGATGAGAGGACTTTTTTTCTGTTTGTTTTTGTCCACAGATAAGATGGAGGAGACAGTGAACACAATCAGTTTTCATTCAGGAGATTATTTCTCTTTACTCTCAGAGAAAGTTTAACAACATTTAGCAACATTTTCTACAATTTATTTGGATTTTTACTCAATTTTCTAACAGAAATGATCAGTTACAAAGGTTCATACAGTCCCATGGTTTCTACTTGTTTTAATAAAATGATGCTTTATTTCATGTGTTGTGCAAACTGATGAATGAGGCTGTTTGAGGATCATCATGTCAATGTTAACGTTAAATTATTAAGTTGACTGAAAATGTGTTTTTTTTTAAGTTTAACCTTGAAGGTTAAACACTTTATTCCACATGAATCTCTCTTAAACTCGTTATATGAAGTTAAAAACTGAAGGAGGGGTGATTAATTAATAAAGGATTAACTGAATGATCTAACCTCAGGAGGTCATCTGATGCAGCAGTTTGCTGCTCCTGTGGCGCCTCCTAGCCAAACTCTGCTGTAACTGCGGCGTGATGGAAGCCAGAGGGGCAAAACCTGCACAAGCCTCCACTGAGGGAGAAGTGTTATGAGTGCATGAATATGTAGGAATATATAGAATCAGAAACAACGGGGATGAAGGCTTCATGCTTCCCAACCTCTCGTCCGGGGCCCCCTAGGGTGGGTGCCATGGGGGGGGGTTAGTCAGATACAGACGGGGGGTGGCAAGGAAAAAGGTTGGGAGTTATAAAACTAAAAGAAGAAGAATGCAAAAGTCAAGAGCAATTTGCATAAACTCAGGTGACACTAATGACATTAGGAACACGACATTAGCGTTAGGCATTAGGCAGCATGAACAAACTGAAACATCGCTTTTATTCGAGCGGCATGAAGGAGTGTTCACAGACTGACCTCAGGAAGTGGCTTCCTTCATTGCTGAAACATATTGCCTAATAACAGATTTATTTAAAGGAGTAAGGTGTAAGGTCTTTTATCATTTCTTGAACCCTCGGTTGGATGACTACAGCCTCTGTACAGGGGGCGTGACCTAACTGATGGCCATCGGACCCAACTCCAACTCCGTTCTCATTCTTCAAGTAGCTAATTGGACTGTAAAGAAAGACAGGAAGTGGTTGTCCTTTACGCTGGCTACACTGTAAGACCCAACAATCCAAGATGGTTTCTGAGACTGGCCGTATATCGATGAAGGACAAAGGATGCTTCAGATCTTTTATTATATCAAAATCACCCAATGGTGCATCCTGGTGTGGTCTCTGATGTTGGGCTGGACTCCATCACGGTCAGCTGCTGGACCGAGACTGAGGAGGAGGAGAACCCCCCCGCTGGGTTCAGCAGTGAGCCCTGATCTGTGTTAGCAGCAGGCTGGATGTGGGCCTAACAGTACCACTCTGTACTGTATGGCTGTCTGTGTGTACACTAAGTGGTAATGGATACAAGTGACATACAAAGCCTGTGCTGCCTTCAGGCGTCTCATCCAATCAAGGCCAAAGCTGAGAGACGGTACGGAGTGAATGCCAAGACTCGTTTAAAGGATGCAGACTGATGCCAGCATGCAGTACTTAACCTCCTCTTCTTCTTCTTTTCTTCCACATGAACTCATCATGTTCTTACGTACTTGTATATCTCTTCCTCTCTTTGCAGATTTATTCTTCTGCTCACAGTGAACATGAAGGGACGACCATAACTCAAAGTCTTCTCCAGCTTGACTCAGTTAAGTGGACCTTGTGGACCTTAATAGAAATGCAGTTGCTAAAACAAACTCGTTTGGACTACTCTCCTGTGTTGTTGCAACATAGAAAGATTTGACATCCTGGATTTAGTAGCTGATGCAAAGGACAAATGTGCTTCTTTTAAATTTTACGTCTCGTTTGGGAGAAATAAAACTCCTGCAGTCGTCGTTCTCTCTTCCTCTTGTTTGCAGCTTTGAAATCTCTCGAACTGTAATAACTCTGCCCAATAGTTTAATGCAGACTGAATTAAATGATGATCAGTCAGTCTGATTTACCTGCCTACCTGTGTTCTCTCTGCCGTGCATTCATTACACAGTTTAAGTCTTCAACAAGCAGGAGCTAGCTAGCTAGCTAATCTCACGATAAACAGGACACCCCATGCACAGCCAACCAACCTGATCAGGTGCCAGTTGGTTGTAGGATCATACAATTAAAAAATAAATAAAACAGCCTGTAGCTTCCTCATGGTCGCTGGGTGGTTAATTCCTTTCCTAGCTAGTCGTCAGAAAGTGGCGAGAAAAAGAAGTCAGATACGATGAGCGATCACAGCCAAGCGCTAAAATCATCACTCCAACGTTCTTTTAAAGTTTCTGATGGGAAAGTTACATTTTCCTGCTCAGTCTCATTGGGTCTTCATGTCGACCAGAGCAGGAGCATGTGCTGAACAAAAGACTTTTAAGAAGGTTATGCTGGACTATTCAGGGGGGTAGGCCTGTGCCGTGCGAGATTGAAGACCATCTTCTCATTTCTCTCGAGGACAGGGAACGCTGAACTGTTCATAAAGTTTTTTAAAGATTTATTTTTTGTGCCTTTAATGGAGAGATAGGACAGTGGACAGAGTTGGAAATCAGGGAGAGAGGGAGGAATGACATGCGGGAAAGGAGCCACAGGCTGGATTTGAACCTGGGCTGCACGCTTTGAAGACTACAACCTCCATACATGGGGTGTGCGCACTAACCACTGCGCCACCAGTGCCCCTGTTCATAAAGTTTTTTAAACCAAATGAGGTCCTGACCGATGTCCAAAGCTTTACAAAATGGCTACGAGCAGCAGAACTTATAAATGGGGTTTGCATATTGAAGAACGTGGACCATAGAAGTAATGAAGCCGAGCTTGTGGAATACCCAGGGTATGTTTTTGTAACTCTGGAACATCTCAAAGCCTTCAGCCTAAAAAACTATTTTGTCCAAGTGGCTAAATTACACGAGGAACACCTGAACACGTTCCTGTTTATGTTCTCGTCTCTCCTTGGAGGGGTCGCCTGGTGATATAACACTTTTTTTTTTTGGTATTTCTTTAACTCAAACAGAACTTCTGCTACCTCACTTTTACTCTCCTCGCTGTCTCCGGCGTCGCCATGGCAACGCAGAACAACACGGCGTCACGTGGGGACGGATGACATAACGCTTCTTTCCAGGCGCCGGGTTGCTTTTTCCCAGAGTAGCACCGTGTACCGCAAGCCTGGCCCACTGCTCTGCTTTTGTGTTCCTTCCCCTCTGCGGTCAAGGTAAAAAAAAAAAAAAAAAGAAGAGGATGGTTCATGGTCAGCAGTTCAGGGTCCTTCTGGAATATTCATCTTATGTGGCACCGTGTCCAGAAAATGCTCTCACCTTATTTCAAAGTGGCAGGCTTTCTTCTAATGCTGTTTTCCATTCTTCGGAATAACACTCTCTCTCCTTTCCCTTCCCTTCAGTCCAGCTTTCCCTTGTTTTTTTTCTCTCTGTTGCATAATTGCAGCCGCTCTCCGTTGGTCCCTCTCTTATGGCCAAAAGCTCAGAAGGCTCAGAAAGTCCCACCATTACTATGACTTCAACTTTCCACTGAATGTGTGTCCTAGCAGAGGGAACATCATCATAACAGTTAGCATTCTCCTGTGATGTAACCTTCTTCACAGAGCTGAAGCCACGCTGTATCGTGTGCATTAAAGGAAGAACGTGCAAAACTTAACACATAAGTCATAATAAATCATAAATCCAGTCTATCCTGTGTAAATGTGTCTCTGAGTCATGACTGTCTACAATGAGTGTGAAGCTTGAGTCCCGCTGGCTGTGTTGTTGTTAGAGCTGTGTTTACATGGATGGGACGGCCGGCTCCTCCCCTTGTGTGTAAAAGCTGTTTTAGTCAAGAACTACAGAGAAGAAGAAGAACATACTCACTGATTATTTGGATGTTAGTAAGAGTTTTTAGATCACGCTCATTCTGTATCAGTTTACATGAAATGTGAAGCTACGAGCTAACTAAAGAGCGCTAACATTAGTTAAAAAAATAAACACTTTTCACTCACAAACACACACACACACACACACACACACACACACACACACGCACGCACACAGACACACACACACACACACACACACACACACACACACACACACACACGCACCCACACAGACACACAAACACACACTTGTATACAAGTTTCTAGCTGTGGCTAATTTGCGCTCCTCGTCCCTGCTCGGCTTTCAGGGTTAAACAGAAAGATTAGACTTAAAGGAATACAAAAAAATAGAAACTATCCAAACAAAGACGTTGTAAATAAATATAATAAAAAGACTAAAATATGAACAAACAGTAAAATAACTTACTAGTGTCTGTCTACACGAGTCTCGTGTTTACTGGTGTTTTTATGTTCTCCATATATAGAATATGATATAATGTAACGTAACATAATATCATTTTTCATTATATAATAACATAATTTAGTATAATATAAAATAATATAACATATCAATGTTGGTACGCGCATGCGCGGGGGATGTCCCATAAAGAAAGTGACGTAGTTACTCAGGAACAAGGAAGTCCCTCTTACCGAAACAGCGCGAAGTTTCGAAGCTGCTCCCCGAAGTGACTTTACTAAATGGCTGAAAAACCTGTAAAGTCTAAACTGAAGCGAAAGAAATCCTCAGTGGAAGGTCTTCAGCCAGACTTTTGTCCAAGAGGAACACAGAGGAAGAGTCCTCTGGTCCCCGGTGACAGGACAGCGGAGCCCGGGAGGTGGGTGTTCTGAGACGGGGAGGGCGCTGGAGTTTACCCGGAGAACGAACCCCCTTTACATTTATAACAATTTAATGTTTTCCTGATTACCAGCTGAAGCTCATAATAAGAGCAGCGTAACTTAATGTCTGTAATGAACAAGTGGATCTTTCTAGATGATTCGGCTTGTTGTTAATCTATTAAAACAGCTGAAATACTGAAGCCTACTTTGTTCATTCTGGTTTCTGTCGAGGCTGCCAACAAGAAAATTAGAAACGTGAAAATTTAAATAATTCAAAAGCAGGTTTGTGTATCTGTTCCACCCCGAATGAAAGTTAAACATTTCATATCAAATTATTTATGTACATTATGCATAAAATACGGTGGCCCTGAAGGACAACTGCACGAAATGCTTTGTGAAATTTCACCAAACGCCTGAAACATTTCACTGTAATGTATAAGTATGTAATGTATAAGTGTTTCACATGAACATAAACTGAAATGTAAAAACATTTCATTAAACATAATTGGGTTAGAATCCCCCCCCCCCCACTCTCTCCTCACATGTCTTGTCTCTCGTAAGCTGTCCTATCCATTAAAGGCTGAAAGGCCCAAAAAATAACTTAAAAGGAAAAAATAAACAGTAGCAAGAGAGAGCAGGGAAGGAGCCACATGTTGGACTCTAAACCAGCCCGCCTGCTGAGAGGACATCCTCCACACATGGGGCCAAGCACTAACCGCTATAGGCTGCCGGCACCTTGAACGCTTTGGAGTCGCTAATTAGTCTAACGAGCATTTCTTTGGACTGTGGGAGGAAGCTGCACGGGGAGGCTCCTGTCAGACAGGGATTCAAACCAGGAACCTCCACACTGTGCAGCGCTAACCACCACTGTTCCATCCTGCAGCCCCAACCTCAGTAGTATGATTTAATTATAGTCTCTCCTGCACAACCAATAAGAACAGAGCCTAAGCTAAAAAGGGTCAAACTTACTGCACTGCGGATGCATTATGTTTCAGAGAAGTCCATATAAACTCGTAACTTTCTGTGAGGCTAAATCTGGAGCTGAGAAACAAACTCTTCAAGAATTTCCTCCTGGAGATGGTGCATTGGGAGCATGCTGGTAGATGATATGTATGGCTAAAACTCAGGAGAGAATCTGTACATTACACCCAATCCACCAAATACCACAGAGTCTTCATTACAGGAGAGTACAGGGATGAAGATGTCAGAGAGTCATTATGCAGATATCACATGTTCACAGCTGATTTATCCTGTTGTTGTTTCTGACAACATTTGACTTTTTTAATGCATGCAGCTTGCTCGGAGCTCTCCATGTTTCTCTCTCTTTCTCTCTGCCTTTGTAATTGACACAGAAGCACGCTGAGCCCCACATCAAAGAGGCGTTTCATAAATAATTTGATTGACAGATTAAAAATGCATACAAAATAATTTAAGAAGAAAAAAAGAGAGAGAGGGGAAAAGTGAAATCTCTGCCCTGCTGCGTGTCAGAGGATTCAATCTAGATTGAATTTCTCGTGATGAACTTGTCAAAAAACAAGTGTTAAAATGCAACAGATTTCTAACGAGATGTCGAGTTCAGACACACGCAGGGTGAGTTACGACGAGGTTTGATCAGAGCGGGGAAACAAACTGAACGGGGGGGGGGGGGGGGGGTTCTAAAACAGATGGTACGCAGGTTTCTCTGAATTCATTTAAAACAAAGACGTCAAAAGCTGTTTGACCTCCTTTATTTGATACGCAGAAAACTGTTCACCACACCTGAAACTCGCCTCTTGAAAGATCACATTTGATTGTCCAATCGATCGTGAAATAAGATGAAATCCTGCAGAATATCTTCAGGGTCGTCTTTTCAAACAGAATTTTTTTTCTGTAAAAACAGGCTTTTTAGAATGGGTGTGTATGTGACTTCCTGTGCTTCTGCAACCAGCCTCTAGTAGACACTCAAGGAACTGCAGGATTTTACACTTCAGCATCGGCTTCATTTTTAAACACTGGAGGTTGCTGCTTTGTCCTGAGCATGAGTGTCGAGTTAGGGGCTTCCTGACCAACCACACAGTCGTCACAATAAACCAAAAACTTCCAAACTGTCTATAACGATCCGTCCAGTAAAACCCGGACTCTCTACTGTTGAGTTAAATAATCGAGATCACCCTGACAGTGTCTCTCTGGTCCACAGGTCTGTGGTTCCTGCAGCAGCTTGGTGGAACAAAGAGCAGCTTCCTGCTGTGGAGGCTCTGTGGGCGTTAACGCTGAAGTCTACTCAGCTCTACCTGCAGGACCAGAACTGGGACCTCATCCCTGATCTTCCAGAACCATCCACAGCTGTATGTGTGACCAGATGTTTAAACGTGTACCTAATGTGTGTCTGTAGACATTCTTCAGTCTGAAGCCCCTTTCTCTCACACACTCAGGAGAACGCCCTGATATTGTTTTGGAGGGGTGCGAGGGGAATGATTACCCACTACATCATGATTTAATGGCAATTTAATCAGTTTCCCCTCGACCGCTGATCCAACCCCAGCTCTCGCACGCCTTCAGGCTTTGCTTTGTGTTCTTCCAAGCTTTGAAATCGGCTACATATAAAAGTCAGAAAACTGGAGTTCCCCAACATGGCCGTTTTGGACGCCCCTCGGTTTGTCAGATATGAGAGCAGTTATCAGGTCAACAGGTGTTGCAGTGATGGAAGCGGGCAAGAGAAGTGGTTCAGATAGAAGTGATTGTACCCGACCTAAAAAGCCTCTGCATGTTTCTAATAAGCTCCACGAGCAGAAACGTGCTCAAACTAGGATCAATATTGGAGATGCTTTTGAAAAATGGAGAGAGCTTAGAACACAGAAAGGTTTACAGACCCATGCAGAGCTGGATAAACACTGAAGCTTCAGTGTCCACCACATGGTGACCTGCGTGAGCATGGACTCTAGAGAGGGGGGGGGGGGGGGAGACAGCATGTTTAGATATTTGTCTGTTTTCACTTCTGTTGTCGTTGAGTCCCTCGCCGTAGGACGCCATGTTACTGGATGTTCTGAATGAGGGGTTTGTTCCTGAAGGGATGTGACATCAGGGCGTACTCTCTATTGTGGACATGTTCTTATATATTGGTTTTATAAATTCTGTAGTTTGAAGCTCAGACAAAATTGAGGAATGAACCATCAGCTGTTTTCACACAAGCACTCCTGAAAATGTTTAGAACATTTCAGGACCGACTGCCCCTCAAAACTCGCTGAGTGTTTATTCACACGTCGTCTCACAGTGGGATGTTTCCTCTCTGTTTAAAAAGTTGAAAACAGCTTGTTTTGTTTGTGTCGCCTCAGAGACCCTCAGCTCTAGAGGAGGATGATCAGCGCTGGTGTGACCTCAACGAGGAGGTCGCTCCCTTCCCTGAACCGTCTCTGAGGACTTCATCTAGTCCAGGTCCTCTCAGGCTCACCCCCTCCCAGCAGGACCTCCCAGTACAGACTCTACCTGAGCCGTCCTCCCACAGCAGGAAAAGTCTCGACGTCAGAACATCTGTTCAAACGTCCACTAAGAGAACCTCCAGTGTAGGAGGAGAAGAGGAGAGGAAAGCAGGAGAGCGAGGAAGACAAAGACCGCTGATACCTGACAGCCCAGTGGAGGAGGAGGAGGGTGAATATGAAGAAGAGCTGATGGAGGTTAAAGAAGCGGGGGAGGAGGGAGGTGTCAGAGGAGGAGGGCGTCTGCAGAGCTGCCCCATGTGTCTGCTGGCATTCCCTGCTGGGTGAGAGCTCCATCACTTTCTGTTTCTTCTTTTTTTTAAAACCACACCAGCTTTCTCCTTCATCTCTGTGATTTTTTTTGTCCTAATTTCTCATTTTCAGAGAAGCATGTTGGCGTTTCAGTCCCACTCACTGGCTCATTGTGCAGCTGCAGCTTTCATTTCCAGATATGTCCTCTCGTTCTCTGCACCCACTGTGGAGCAGTTTGGAACAAAACACTTAGAATGTTTCAAACATTTTATGGTGTAGTAAAAGAAAGCACATCGGATTGATCATTCATCAGATACGTTGAGCTCAATCAGATCCTTTGTCTTAAAGTCCAAATGAAACTAAACTTTGAGAGTACCAGATGTGTGTACGGTCCGTCTCTGCTCCTCCACAGCAGCAGAGCTGATAAGTTTTTATTTTATTCAGTGTGTGTGCTTCCTCTGGCTCCACTGCGCCTCAGCTCCGTCAGTCCTCTGCAGCAGATACACAAGACTTCTATTTCTGCAGGGATAGAACCAATCACAAGAAAGAAGGCGGGAAATAACATTGGGATGAATTCAATTGGTTAAAACATTAGTAAACGCACCTGAGTGCAGGATGAGTCATGAGACATTCAGAACATTTTACTGTTAAAGAAAAATACAGTTCTTAAGATGTTAACATGCTCGGAGAATGAAGATAATGTCAGATATATTTAACGCTGGATTAGAACCGGGAAAATGTTTTTAATTTCAACTCTAACAGCCCTCACAAGGGTTATTTTAGTGGCAAAATGTTTTATTCAGCAGTTTTTGTTTGTTTTTATTAGGGCAGCCATCGTTACTACTCCTATCTCGTTTGAGCTGTGTGTGTGGAAGAGCAGAGAAAAATACTGGGACTGTTTTTTAAAATTGTGCTCCTGCTGTGTGCTGGTGTGTCTTTACGGTATCAAAGTTTAAATGTCTTTACAGCCTTATATGTTGTCACCTTCCTTTAAGTGTGTGTGTGTGTGTGTGTGTGTGTGTGTGTGTGTGTGTGTGTGTGTGTGTGTGTGTGTGTGTGTGTGTGTGTGTGTGTGTGTGTGTGTGTGTGTGTGTGTGTGTGTGTGTGTGTCCGTCTCTCTCCTTGTTCCTGTCTCTGCAGGTTCACACAGATGGACTGTGACGGCCACCTGGCCCAGTGTCTGTCTGAGGTGAACGTGGACGTCACCTGGTGAGGGGGTAGGACTCTGGCTGCTGTCCAGGAGCTACAAGCTGCACAGATACCCCGCATCACCCCCCCTACAGGCTGGTATCATATAGAGAAGGACACACCCAGACTCTCTACATCAATGCATCCTGCACACACGTGGTTATAATCATGTTATATTTATTTAAAACAAGCGAACATTTAAAACTCTGCACTTTGTGACATTCAAACATATTCAGTGAATCAGGATGTAGTTAACGCTCCACAAACATTTCAGTTGTTTCAGCAGCTGACACCTAGTGTTTAAAATGGGTACTGCAGTCTAAATTCTAAACATTGTAGACCCCCCCTCCTCTCTAGAGTCCATGCTCACTCAGGTCACCATGTGGTGGACACTGAAGCTTCAGTGTTTATCCAGCTCTGCATGGGTCTGTAAACCTTTCTGTGTTCTCACCTCTCTCCATTTTTCAAAAGCATCTCCAATATTGATCCTAGTTTGAGCACGTTTCTGCTCGTGGAGCTTATTAGAAACATGCAGAGGCTTTTTAGGTCGGGTACAATCACTTCTATCTGAACCACTTCTCTTACCCGCTTCCATCGCTGCAACACCTGTTGGTTTGACCTGATAACTGCTCTCATACCGCATGTCTCAAGACGTAGGGTTTAGTGCAAACTTTATAAAATATCTGACAGAGCTGCTGACCCTGGTCTGACTCCCCTCAGAGGACCCTGCTGTCAGATCTTAATTTACCCTCTTTAGCCCCATATGCAGCTCCACTTCATTGTGTCTACTTGTCCTCTGATGGTTCTGGTTCCAGCTGGGCAAGAGGATCTCCAAAATATTTTCCGACAATCCCTCCACGTTAAAAACCAGGCCACAGCCTCCTCGCTGAGCTGCTTTCAGAGAGTGGGTGCATGTAATTGGACAGCTGCACAGAAATAAAGACTGACTCATCCTCTGCCTAAAAAACTGCAACTGTTGTTATCATTTATTAAAGTGTGTGGTTGAAATAAATTATTCTGAGATAAAATGAGTCAGTGAAGTTCTTCTAGTTCACGTGGTCAGTTAGTGTCTCTGAAAAGCGAATTAATTCACTAAATCAGAGCTCAGTTTGAAGCTTTCAGATTCCTCCCTCAAGGTCTTTCTCTTTTGTGACTGTTGCTCGACTTAACAGCTGAACCAAAAACCAGCATAAGGAAGTTAGACCAATCAATACTATCACAATAATAAGGAGAAATCAAGTTTGACCTGAAGATGTTATCATCTCTTAAAGCGTGACTGAAACAAAGGAAACATAACTAAATTGTGCTCTAAAGTACACCTGGCCAGGTCCGCTCAGGTGCAGCTGTTTGTCTTCCTGCAGGTCGAACAAAGCAGCAACCTCCTGAGCTGAAAAATGAAGCCGATGCTGAAGTGTAACATCCTGCAGTTCCTCGAGTGTCCACTAGATGCTGGCTGCAGAAGCACAGGAAGTCACATACACACCCATTCTAAAAAGCCTGTTTTTACAGCAGAGATTAACATGTTTACAGCCTGGTTCAAAACACAAAACAGGTGTGATTAGCTCATGTCTCGATTGACACACACTGTACGGGGGGATGAATGTTTTGATGACTCATCAGTTTTGATTTGATGAAGGATAAGAGTTATTCACAATAAGGCGTGTAGCTGACCTGATTGACAGGTCGGCATGGTGTAACGGTTTTGCCATGAGGTTTAAAACCTGCCTCAGCTCCAGCTCTCAGCCTGTCGTTAGGTTGACTGAAAGTTAGACTGAGACAGCATTTCCAGCATGGAGACCGCCATTGATGGGACTCCAGCGCCCCCTGCAGGAACAGATGATGTCACTCAGGCTTCAAACATTCAGATTTACAGTCTGTGATGTAACTACAGAGACAAACATAAGGAGGCAGAGTTAAGTCAGTATGTTTATAATCTACCATTCCTGATCGTTTCCAGTAAAGAAGGATCTAAAATATCTCACTTGAACATTTTCTTTGGAATTCTTTGCAAAAATCTGAACATGAAGCTTCTCGGCTCTCTCGCCTAAATTAGTGCGTCATAGAGTTTTTATGCTCCTGCTGCAGATTTTTAATCTCTTCGTTCCTGAAACTGGAGCAACTTTATTTCCTCTGCTTCAAATAAACAGAGAAAATGTTGCTCGATGATTATTTTATTGGTTAATTGGCTTTGCTCTCCTGGTATGAAGTGGTGATCAGAGGACGTGCAGCTGTGTGAGGAGGCATCTCCCAGGAGACACACACACACTCAGAGAGACACACACACACACTCAGAGACACACACTCACACACACACACTCAGACACACACATACACACTCACAAACACAGACACACACACATACACACTCACACACACAAACTGTAGCATCTGCAGAGATTTTTCTGCCCTCGTCTGCAAAAAAAGAAAGGACCCAGTTCACGGAAAACCAGTATCATTTTTAATAATTACACATATTTACAAAGATGCGGTGAAGCAAAAATGAAGCGAATCCAACCGGTTAGAAAAAGAACTCATGGACGAGGTTCATTCAGATCATTTAGAACATCTTCGATTGGCCTTCACAGGGCTCGTGGTGTCAAAGACTCTCCATTTATCTGCTGGTCCCTCCACAAACAAAGAAAACTCACACACCTTTCACCGGCTGAGCAAAAAGACCCGAACACAAACACACACACACACACACAAACACACTCAGAGACGAGGAGGAGGAGCTTCCTCTAAATGTTGGACTGATCTCTAGACGCTTGAAGTCTCTCCGAGTGTGTGTCTCTGAGTGTGTGTGTGTCTGTGTGTGTGTTTGTGTCTCTGTGTGTGTCTCTGTGTGTGTCTGTGTGTGTGTGTGTCTCTGTGTGTGTGTGTGTCTCTGTGTGTGTGTGTGTCTCTGTGTGTGTGTGTGTCTCTGAGTGTGTGTGTGTGTCTCTGTGTGTGTGTGTGTCTCTGAGTGTGTGTGTGTGTCTCTGTGTGTGTGTGTGTCTCTGAGTGTGTGTGTGTGTCTCTGTGTGTGTGTGTCTCTGTGTGTGTGTGTCTCTGTGTGTGTGTGTGTGTCTCTGTGTGTGTGTGTGTCTCTGTGTGTGTGTGTGTCTCTGAGTGTGTGTGTGTGTCTCTGTGTGTGTGTCTCTGTGTGTGTGTGTGTGTGTCTCTGTGTGTGTGTGTGTGTGTGTGTGTGTGTGTGTGTGTGTGTGTGTGTATCTGAGTGTGTGTTGTATTGGACTAATTGGCGAGTGTGTATCAGCTTCATTATCTCTCTCTCTCTCTCTCTCTCTCTCTCGCCCTGCGGCTAATTGAGAACCTTTGACTTGGGATCAGCTAATTAATCCCATTATGTTGTTATCACATTAGCACGGGTCAGATTTCATCAAATGAATCTGAGCCAATGGAGAGAGAGCTCCTCTTCTCCTCGTCCTCTGAACCTCAGACGGAGAGATTTCAGAGTCTCTGACTTTGATCTGTGCTGCGAACTGATCATCACTGACGTCTTTGATTTAACCCTTTCAGCAGCGCGAGGCTCGCTGATGGTACAGAGACGAGTCTGTCTTTGTTTAAAGGTGGCGGTTTGTTTATGGAGGTTACAGCCTCAAACAACGGTCTTAAACTGTCGACCTGTGGAAAAGGAAATCATGTTTGAAGGATCAAAACTTCAAGTGTGTCGGCTGGATTTACACGAGCAACAGCTCACACCTACCCGAGTCTAACACCCGGTTTTATTTAAAATATTTAACCTGTTATTTATTTAAAATAGTTTAAAACCTCCGCTGATTAAAACCGCTGAAGTGTAAAATCCTGCAGTTCATCCAGTGTCCACTAGAGGCCGGCTGCAGAAGCACAGGAAGTCACACACACACTTCATATAAAATCAGTTTGCAGTGTGTTTGTAGACTCAGCAGCAGAGTGTCAGAAGGCTGGAAGTCGTTTATCAGTAACCGCTAACCAGAACGCCTTTAAAAGTCGTGGTCACTCCTGTCAGACGGGTTCCAAGAGTGATGTCGTCCTCGACCTGCGTTAGAGGTTAAGTACCGGCTGGTCAAGTTTTGCTCGGACACCAAACATACGAGGAACGAGGAAAAAAAGTCACAGCTGGAGCGTCTTAAGAGTTTGGGCTGATGTGGGACTCTAACCTGGTTGCCTTGGTGATAACCACGACACTCATTCATATTCCCTCCTCACTGCATGGGCAACACGGACAGATCTGCAAATCGAGAGTTTCTATTTGAGGTCGGGGGGGGGGGGGTTTACAGTCTCGAGGGTCCTGATGGAGAGCCTCTTTAAGAAACAAGATTAAACATTAAGAACATTAATTATCTTTTGATGATTCTGTCTGCACAAAGAGATCATGATATTTATAATCTGGAGTTGCTCCGTGTAAATTCAGCCTTTTGGAGGCACAACGATCCCGAAATGGAAACAGAAACACTTTTCCACAAGACAGCACAGCCAGGCGGTCACAGGATCTTTACGGCCGGCTGCAGATGGTCACACAGCAGAAGCTGGTGAGGAAGAATCTGAGCTTGGCCAGCACGGGGAGGAGGCCGACGAGAGCTTTATTCTCCTCATCTGACTGAACCTGAAGATCACCTTTAATACACAGGACTGAAGCAGCCAATCACCACTCTCTAAACATCTGATACTACTCTGGCTCTTTGGATGAATTTATAAAGCGCTCATTAATCATCTGTTGAAGTGAAAAGGTTCGATCGTGTGTCAGGTCTTAAGGACGCTACAGCGCACCAATCAGAGTGAAGCCACGCCCTCAGATTTCTCTGCGTGAAGAGATGCTCAGTAAGAGATTAAGTGCAATCAGAGACTCGGTAGTTCATCCATCTTTGAGGCACTTCTTAAATAAAAAGAGTCCCCTCCCCCTCGTTGTTTGTAAAATCATAAAAACAACAGTAAAGAAACATCGTGGTTGCGGATGAATCTGTGCCACTTTGCATCGATAAAAAGGCATCGTCAATGTTTGTACCACTACCTACATTATTTTACACAATAATAATAACTTATTTCTTCCTTCCTCAGTGTACATTCTTGTTCTGCGTGGGGCGTCTTTGCCCCCCCTACAAGATACAAAAAAAACAGGAATTAACAAAAAAAAAAAGAAAAGTGCAAGTTAAAATTCAAGTTCCTCGGCAGAGCCGTCATGGATCGGGGGACATGAGGCGGGGTGGAGACGTGTTCATGACGGCAGGCACAGAATGAGACGGCTCTCTCCGCTCACACATCGAAGCCGCTCGTGCTTCGACGTGAGGATGGACATTCTGAGGGGGGGAAGGAAAAAAAAGGGCGAAGACGGCGGAGCGACAGGGAATGTTCTGAAGTCTTTGTTTTCCAGGAAACCAAATAAAAAGAGGAAACAATCGAAACTCTGCTCCTGTTGTCTTTGCTTGTTGACATGTCCACAGGGTGAGTCGTCCTCCTCCTCCTCCTCCTCCTCCTCCTCCTTGGCTCTGAGTGTCTTTTGGCTGAGACGGCAGCTTGGACGAGCAGAAGGTGGGCGAGGGAGGAAGCGTGTCTCTCCTTCATACAGACTCCTCTGTGGATAGCAGCAGGGGGTTGATGTATTCAAATCCCTCAAACTCTGACTGGTCTATTCTCTTGATGACGTCCCTGAGGGGAGAGACAAAGAGAGACGGAGGAAGAGGGATTAGAGGAGGAGTTTCACTACAACAACACAGCACAATGACATCACCATCGACCTGCTCTGTGAGGAACCAATCAGGGGCTCGACCTGAACCACCATGTCCTCTGGACCTGAGAACTTTGTCAAAGCTTAGTGAGAGATATAGTCTGTATGAAACATGGACGTAGTCTCTGTGAGGTCACCCATTGGTTTCTGAAGAGGCCTTTTGAAGTTCAAGCAACACAAACAGAACTCATGAGTCGACCATTGTTGTTGTAGTCCATCGACTAGCTCATGGCTACTGACTGGAACCTTACTGAGCATGTGCAAAAAGTTTCAGTTTTCAGAGGAACTCTTTATCGCCCGTTTACACGATGACAGAGATGCTGCTGTTTTCAACAGTCCGCCCTGTGGAACCCTTTTTCTGGTTCCCCAAAACGCCATCGCCGTGTAAACAAACATCCAAAACGCTAGCAAAGGTTACGACTTCCAGCTGAAACCGTCGCGTAAAAAAAAAAAGAGCTCAGAATAACCAGCGGAGCCAGTCAGGGACAAAAAGAACGATTGATGATTCCCTCAGATTAAATGTGTTAAAAACTAAAAATCAAGCATCGTCTTTTTTTATATTTTGTGAAGTTAAGAGTAAGAACCCTCAGTGGAGTAACGAGCGGAGGAAGTCGAGCTGTTCTTTGTTTCCTGAGTGAGTGAGCTCACAGGTAAACGCAGCAGAATGCCACGACCATCCGAGTGCAAATAAATGGACTCCCTTAGCAACACGGCCGGCTTCTTCTTCTTCTGCTGCAACAGGCTGTTTACTCATCTGTGTGTGTGTGTGTGTGTGTGTGTGTGTGTGTGTGTGTGTGTGTGTGTGTGTGTGTGTGTGTGTGTGGAAAGGAGGCCTCTCACAGAGGCTTTCTCCCCTCGGACAAACAGAGTAGGGGGCTTTGAAGTTAAAACAAAAGGTGCCTTCAGTGAACTGTCGCCCCGGTGGACCAGGTGGGTGGGGGTCTCACTTCAGGGGCCACCGGCGGAGCTGAACAGGTTCTGGATCCCACCCACATGGAGCGAAGGACAAGTGAGAGAGACGCTGCGGTGTCTTTGTTTCAGCTTTCAGAGCAGAATACTGATGAAGGAGAGATTACTCCATCTGATCTCATGTGACGCTCTCTCTCTCTCTCTCTCTCTTTCTCTCTCTCTCTGTCTCTCTCTCTTTCTCTCTCTCTCTGTCTCTCTCTGTCTCTCTCTCTGTCTCTCTCTCTTTCTCTCTCTCTCTGTCTCTCTCTGTCTCTCTCTCTCTCCTGCTCTCCCTCTATCGCTCTCTCTCTCTCTCTCTCTCTTTCTGTGGGTGGAGGTCATCCACCGATACAAGCATCACATCCACCAAATGCTGTTCTTTATTTTGGGACACTCAGAGGAGAGAGAGAGGTTTGGGGACTGACCAAAACAAACATGGAGTCCGACCAACGTAAATATTTTTTTTTTTAAACAGTGCAGGACCTCAAAGCTTTACCAGATGATGAATGAAGAGGAGAAGGAGGAAGAGGAAGAGGAGGAAGAGGAGGATGAGAGGAGGAGGAGGAAGAGGAGCAGGAGGAAGAGGAGAGGAAGAGGAGGAGGAAGAGGAAGAGGAGAAGGAGCAGGAAGAGGAGGAGAAGGAGGAGGAAGAGGAGGAGAGGAAGAGGAGGAGGAGAAGGAGGAGGAAGAGGAGGAGAAAGAGGAGGAGAAGGAGGAGGAAGAGGAGGAAGAAGAGGAGAGGAGGAGAGGAAGAGGAGGAGGAGGAGGAGGAGGAGGAAGAGTAGAGATGGAACAAAAGCTCCAGAGAGCATTTCTTGGTCTCGAGATGTTTGAAAGTCTCGGTCTCAGACTGGGCGGACTGCAGATTTAAAATCAATCATTTGTAGTTTGATTTTTGTCCCCCCTTTACGCCCGCAACCTTCACCGTGTTACGGTCTAAGTGAGTGACACGCCTGCTGCACACTAGCGGGAGTGGATGAGTTCATTGATATTTATGGTCTTGACTTGATCTCGATCCTTAAATGTCTTGGTCTTGTCTCGGTCTTGGAGCACTCTGGTCTCGGGTATGTCTTGGGTCTTGGTTAGTGTGGTCTTGACTACAATACTACTGTGAGTGTTTGCAGACATAGGATCTAAATTTGAAAAAATAATAATTGTGATTGGCCCTGGTGCACGCCTGTACACTGCACAACAAATGACACACAATTGAGCTGAAGTTAGACCGACTTATTAATCAGTCCTGCGACTCAAAAATTGGGTACACCGTGCACCGTGTATGTATGACTTCAGTCCTACCAGACAGGTCAGACATGGCCGATCTGAACCTCATCCAAACATCTAAACTAACACGGTGTTTGAAGAAATGTGTCGCAATACAGAAACTGCACCAAGAAGAAACCAGACCTCCAGAGTCTGCAGGGTCCTGTAAAAAAACCTTCTACTGAATATTTACAATCCAAGATATTTCTGATCCGTATTTATCTTTTGATGAACACGTAGCTGCTCAAAATAAAACTCCTGCACGGCTCGGAGCAACAGGTTGAAGAGACGACCTGGTCTCCAAATTCAAGTCCTCTAGAGACGAGTGCTACAGGAGAACAAAGTCCTCCTCCCTGGGCACTGATTCAGGCTGCCATTTACTGAGAGGGGGAGCTGGCAGATAAAAACTAAAGCCCCCCCCCCCCCAGCAATCCTGGCTTTTAATGTCCCAATGTAAATGTGTAACACGGAGGGTTTACCGTCGCTCTCCCTCGCACAGCGCTCACAGCTCTTTCTTCTCGTGCCAAGCCCATCACGAGTGGGAGAGAGGGGAGACTGGAGAGCTTTTTTGCATCAACCCCCTCCTGGCGGGAGTGGGCGACATCAGCCCCTCTCTCTGTGGTAATGGAAATGAGAGAGAGGGGTGTGGGGGAGATAAAGGGTGAGACGAGGGGGGAGGAGGCGTGTGTCTTCTTTTGATGTGAGGTGCTTTTTGATGCCAGGTTGGTATCTCCACTGCTGAACTGGTAGTGTGCTCTCCATCCTGTGCCCCCCCCCCCTCACTGTACCACCCCTATGTCTCCCACTAAAGTTTGGAAGGACTCCCGCCATCTCTCGCTGTCACAAAGAGCTTCAGAGGCGTCGCTGTGTCTCCAGAGACGAGGTGTTCAACTCCTTCAGACTGAGGCAGAGACATCGTGGATAAACCAGCGACGCCTGTCATGGCTGCAGAGAATGATGGGTATTTCATCATTAATACACAGAGCTCCTGTTGCATCGCGCCATCTGTAAATGTTCAAAAGTCTACGCCTGCAAAGGCCGGATGCTGATTGTCTCCACTTTAACCACTGTGCAACTCCATCTCTCCTAAAAGGCCTCCAGAGTGCATGTATTCTCCCCCCCCCCACACCAGAACAAAGAGGAGGAACATCTCCTGCTTACGTGGTGTTTGAAACTTCCAGTTAAACTTGCTGAGATGGTTTCAGTCCAATAAAAGCTTTGCAGGAGAAAGCTAAACGTTGGAGCCTGAAGAATCAGTCCAGCATGGATTTTAATGAGAGCAGTGTCTAACATCAGCCTGATGAAGTCCACTGGCAGGGTGCAACAAAGGCATATGGGATCCATTTCTTGCAGTCACACAGGGTGTGTTTGTGTTTCCGTGCTGTGGCTGCAGACAGTCAGACAGCCTGCACCGTGTCTGTTGTCCTGCCAGAACTCTGCAGCCTTCTCCCTCCAGAGTGAAATCTACTCACAGAATCCCGTCACATCCTGGAGGCTAAATGTTAGCATGAATCACAGCAAAGTCCCTGCTGCATAAAGACGTCAGCGTGGGGAGCTCACGGGGGGTGGGGTTATTGAATGCAGAGGAGAGATGGCACAACATGGACTGTTTGTGTGAGAAGACCTTTTAAATATCTCTGTTCAGTTTGGACGAGCTCTAATGCTCTTGCAGGCTCTGCAGGCTTTCCACTTCACACCTGACAGGTATAATCACAGATCTGTGCTGCCGGTACCTGCTGCAAAGCTCCTCACAGTCTAAACAACTTGGCTGAAAAATCTTATGACTCAATAGGCCCCGTTTACGAGCTGATTTCACCTGAAACTGTAACTTTTAGTGACTGAAGACACAACGTTTATAAAACAGCAACGTCTGCGAGAAAACTTGTGATATGCAGCGACTCTGAAAAGCTGAGACTCTGAAAAGCTGAGACTCTTCAAACAAGGTCATTACGCTTCCAGACTAAAGCCGGGCGCGAGTAGTCGGACTACAACAACAATGGCGGACTCCAGAGTTCTGTTTGTGAAAATGTTTCCTCTCATGACTCGTTGACTCTCTCTGAAGTTTAGAGTCACTCGGAGTGAAAACCCCACGTCATCGTCCGTCCACACAAACGTTTGTGTGTTAGAAAAGTTTGTTTGTTTACACCTCGGCGTGTTGTTTCATCACAGAGTCACACCGCCACCTACTGGTCCGGCATGTATAAACTCCGTCTTTGAGTACTCTAATATATTATTATAAATATAATGTGATGGTGAAGGAGATCATCTCTTATACCACATGTGAAGGATCTCTAAATTATTCATGTGACCTCTCCTCTAATGAGACGTTGCCGTGAGCTGCAGAGGCGGGACTTACTCGTCATCTGGTGTTAGCTGCACTGGTTCATTAGTAAACTGCGTGTCGAAGTTTTCGAGGCCGTACTCGTCAGAGATTTGAGGTTTGAAGGGCGGCGTCACCTCCTTCTTCTCCAGCTGAGGGGAAAAACAAACACATCAAATAAATGAGTGTAAAAACAGGATAACAATGTTTCCACTCAGTCGAGGTTTGCATGCACATTGTGAGCTCCAACCCTTTAATAATTAAACATGATTTAAAACCCCCCGCTTTGACTGAAACACAGAGATCTCTTCTGATGGATGTTGTAAATAAAACCCTCATAGCTCTCGTTAGGAAGCTCTGACGTCAACACTGAAGAAAGTTTCTGTAACTTAGAGGAGGAATGTGCGTCTTTTTGATCCAGTAGATTTGACCCTCCTCCAACTCGAGTTCACGAGGGAGATATTTATTAAAACGCACCATAATTAAACACCATTAAGGGCAAGAGGTGGACAAACTCGTCCTTTTCTCGAGCTGCAATCCCCTGTGTCCTGCATTGTTGTGTTAGCATGCTAATGTTAGCACTCTTTAGTTAGCTTGTAGCTTCACACTGCATGTAAATTAACACAGAATGATCGTGATCTAAAAACTCTTACTAACATCCAAATAATCAGTGAGTATGTTCTTCTTCTTCTCTCTCTTGACTAAAACAGCTTTTACACACAAGGGGAGGAGCTGGCAGTCCCGTCCATATAAACACGGCTCTGACAACAACACAGCCAGCGGGACTCGAGCTTCTTCACTCAATGTGAAGCTACGAGCTAACAAAAGAGCGCTAACATTAGCATGCTAACACACAACAATGCAGGGCACAGGTGATTGCAGCTCGAGCTAAGGATGATTTTGTGGAGGAGGGCGGCGGTTTCAGTATGGAGGAGGTGTGGCCTAATAGCAGTTTGTTTTGGTTTCATGCTGGAGCTAAAGGTCGACGTCTACTGGACCAAAAAGTCACACATTCTTCCTTTAAAGTCCATCTCACTGATTGGACCTTTAAGTGATAATATTATCACAGCAGTGTGTACTGTGTATAATAAGATATATTCGGCTGTTTCTTTTGCTTTTATTATAAGTTTATAGTTTCAGTTTATAGTTTCTATTCTGAGGACTGAGTTTACCTGCAGATACAAAGACAGTAACTTTCATCTTCTTCTATTTTAAAAATATTTCTAACCCACTTTTAAAAAGGTTGCAGAAAGAACCAAAAACACGGCGAGTATACGAGTGCACATCTGTTCTCTGTGACTTCATTTTGTTCTCAGGAAATGTCCTCAGAGCTCATTTGAACAGGATGAGGGACTGATGTGAAACCATGGCAACAAACCAGACAAAAACTCTGAATCACTCGCTGCACAAATTACTCTGCTGCGTCAACCTTCTCTGTTCTGTTGTTTTTCTCCCTCTCTCCACTTCATTCCTCTCTTCATCACCGCGGAGAAATGTCCAAACACAGAGGTCTGTTTGTGACCGAGTCTCATCCGACTGCACGGAAAACACGTTCGCTGTTTCAGCCGCTCTCACTGATTGGATATAACCCACTGTGATGGGCTCAGTGGCTGTCAGAACATCACAAATGTTCCAGCGCTCTTATATTTGTTCGAAATTTCAGACTACAGTTTTGACAAGCTCATAACCAGATTTGTCAAATATTGTTTAAACATTTGACAACATTTCCTGTTTAGGCCCTGAACTGTTGAGTTGAATGTTTTTATGCAACATCACCATTTACAGTAGTCTCAGAGCGTGGATTTAAACACAAAAACCAACAATATGTTCCTCCAGGACAACAAAAACAAAAAAAACAAAGAGTTTATGGGCTCATTGGTGGTTTGGGGGAGGGGCCAACCGGGGCCAGTGCTCCTGTAATACTGAGCTTGGCTCCCCCCCTGCGGCCCCCCTCCAAAAGAGGATGTTAATAAAACAAAACATTCAATTCGATGATAATGTGCTGGTGCTAAAGGTGGAACAATTGCAGCTCAACCACAGACCTTAAATTAATAGAATGGTCACCTCCTTCAACTCAACAACCAAGAAAGGCTTTTTTCTTTATCTATTTTTGTCCTGGATCGAATGTGTCCCCCCTCTCACAAAAGAAGTCCTCAGTCAAAGCGGTGTAGAAGCTCGACTGTTGACAGCGCATTAAAGGTCCAAACAGTGAGATGTGTAGTGAGTGAAATGATAAAGTGAGGTTACTATATGATCAGACATTAAGGAAACATGCTATGTTAAAGTGCTGGCCTCTCTGACAACAATGCAGCAGCCAGTATGTCCTCCTTCTAACTTTAGATTCTGGTGCTGAATGCTCTGGATTTGTTTGGACCAGAGAAGGTAGGCGGTTTTAAGACACCCCCCACACGGCCGTTTTGGACGCCTCTCAGTTTGCCAGATATGAGAGCAGTTATCAGGTCAAACCAACAGGTGTTGCAGCGATGGAAGCGGGCAAGAGAAGTGGTTCAGATAGAAGTGATTGTACCCGACCTAAAAAGCCTCTGCATGTTTCTAATAAGCTCCACGAGCAGAAACGTGCTCAAACTAGGATCAATATTGGAGATGCTTTTGAAAAATGGAGAGAGGTGAGAACACAGAAAGGTTTACAGACCCATGCAGAGCTGGATAAACACTGAAGCTTCAGTGTCCACCACATGGTGACCTGTGTGAGCATCCACTCTAGAGAGGAGGGGGGAGACAGCTCTCTACAATGTTTAGAATTTAGACTGCAGTACCCATTTTAACCACTAAGGGTCAGAGTTAAATACTGCTCCTTTAAAAATAATCTTCTCCCTAGTGGTCTGGTTTGCTTTTGTGGCTCATAAAGAGGCATCAGAATGATTTCCACTCGTTAATAACCAGCTCTAAACTGTTCACAGGACTACTGATTAAGTACTTTTAATGTTCTCAGTTCAAACAAAGCTCTTATCGTTGAGATTCAGGTCAGAAAATGTTCATTTAATATGTTTCATTTCTTGAAACGCTGAAAAAACAAGTTGATTTATTCTTTATGTACGACAACCATCGAGGAATCGTCCCGCTCTCTTTCCAGTTGCTCCTGTTGTGTGTTTCCTGTGTGTGTGTTTAGTTGCTACAAAAGTTCTTCTGCTGGGTTCTGCAGAACTTTCTCTGTTTCATTAGTGTTATTGGTTCAAAGCTCTTTGTGGGAACATCTTCAAACAAACAAACAAACACAAAACAACACAAACATTTTCTCCTCGTCTCTCTGCCTCTCCATCACACGGGCCCACCTTCCCCCAATCTCTCTCTCTCTTTGCTAATTTGTTTTTCAGCTCTCTCAGCGCCTACCTACACTCCTCTGTCAGCTTCACCCCCTCACATCCTGTCTCCATCTTTCTCCTCCACGTTTGTCTCCGTCTTACTCATTGTCGACGCTTTCATCTCCTCACATGCCTCTCCTCTCTCCTCCTACTTTCCCTGCATGCTCTGATGTGTTGTTGGGCAGGCTGAGGCTCCGTGTGTGCTGGTAATGAAGCTCGGTGAGGGCCAGGAATGGGCCCGGCGTCTGCACACACGCACGCACACACACACACACACACACACACACACACACACACACACACACACACACACACACACACAAAAACACTCACACTCACACACACACACACACGCACACAGACACAAACACACACACACACACACACACACGCACACAGACACACAAACACACACACACAGTAGCAGATAGTGCCCCCGAGGCCAGAGGGGCACATGAAAGAGGAAACACAGCGCCAGGGATTTTCAGGCACTACTACCTGTGTGTGTGTGAGTGAGTGTGTGTGTGTGTGTTTGAGTTTGTGTGTGTGTGTGTGTGTGCGTGTGTTTGAGGTTGTGTGAAATATCTTCTGCTGCGTCTGTGTGTGTTTGAGTTTGTGTGTGTGTCTGTGTGTGTTGGACAAGTTTGGGCAACACACGCACACAGACACAAACACACACACACACACACACACACACACACACACACACACACACACACACACACACACACACACACACACACTCCTCGTCCTCCACATCTCTGCAGACGCTCCATAAGCGTCAATTTGAATATGAGTTGTGAAATATCTTCTGCTGCGTCTTGCTGTCAGTCTGAAGAAACGTTCTCATCTTTGTGTAACGGCTCAATTTAACGGACAGAGTGGCGTTTCAGGAGAGAGAACATGACCACATGTTGTGTGAACTCGGTAAGAGAGGTTTTCTTCTGGTCCATTCGTTACCAACAGGTTTTGTGCAATGCAGACGGAGCGCAGGAGTTTTTTCTCTCCTCGTTTGGTCCCGGTGTCTGGGTTGGGAAGTCGTTCTTCAGACTTCAGTGTTTTCACTTCAGGACGTCAGAATGTGGTTACGTTAGGAGAAATGCTTTCTGGCATCAGACAGAACCAACAGCACGTTTTTTTGGTTCAAGTGTCACCACAAAGAATCCCTTCATATCTGATCTCCTGCCTTAATGTGATCTCAGAGTCAAACTAACCGGCAGCGCTCCGATGGAGACTGAAACCCGTCCCGGGCTCAGCGCTCGTCAGGCTGACGGCTCTCTGGCAGTGAAGCGCTGAGTGTTTGGAGAGGGCATGAAAGAGGACGGCAGGTAAATGATATTCAAATGTGTCATCTCTTCAGAGAGAAAGCTCAGTGCTCCCTCAGGAACGTCTGATGAATATTAATGTGTGCTAACAACAGGAGCGGCGTGCCAGGCCTGTCAGGTCTGGAGACAGGTTTCAGGTTTGAGGGCAGAGAGCGCCGCTCCTCCACCTCTCTCAGCTTTGTCAACTTGTTTTCCCTCCGCGCTACACGCCGCTGTGTCGCCGGGCTCACGGTTCCTCTCCGCTTTGATATCTTTCCCCCCCCGTTTGCCTTTGGTGTGTACTTCACAGGCTCGGTGGCATCTCTCATTAACACACCCTGACGATTGTTTCCCCTCTTTCATGCCACTGTACTACCTGCCACCCCGCCTCACGCTCCCAGGAGAGACACGCAGCACTGAAGAAGGAGAAATGGCTTTAATTTAGCTGAAATGAAAAGTGTGTTAATGTCTGATAAAGCGTGCTAAAGGAAGATAAAGGATTGTGCTAACTTGAAGCAATTATGATCCTAAAACACGAGCAGATACAGAGGTTTAGCCCGAGTTAAGATTTACATTTCTACACGTTGTGGCTTTTTAGGTCGAGTATCAGTTATATCTGACCCAGACAATCAGGCTCACAGGCTGTGTGCATTTAAAGAAATATTACTATTTTTTTAAATCAAAATGACGGTCATTTCCAAGTCAAAGGAGCAAGATGCATAGATTAAAATGGGTACTGCAGTCTAAATTCTAAACATTGTAGAGCACTGTCTCCCCCCTCCCTCTCTAGAGTCGATGCTCACTCAGGTCACCATGTGGTGGATACTGAAGCTTCAGTGTTTATCCAGCTCTGCATGGGTCTGTAAACCTTTCTGCATTCTAACCTCTCTCCATATTCTCTCTCATATCTGGCAAACCGAGGGGCGCCCAAAACGGCCGTGTAGGGGGTGTATTAAAAGCGCCTACCTTCTCTGGTCCAAACAAATCCAGAGCATTCAGGACCAGAATCTAAAGTTAGAAGGAGGACATACTGGCTGCTGCATTGTTGTCAGAGACGCCATGACTTCAACATAGCATGTTTCCTTAATGTCTGATCATATAGTTAGCTCACTTTATCATTTCACTCACTACACATCTCACTAATTGGACCTTTAAGCCAAACTTTTAGCTCTTTCTCCTGTTAGTACGTAACCCAGGTGTATGAAGAAGAAACGTCTCATCGTGGAGACTTGCGCCCTGCTGTCAGGAATCAGCAGATGAAAACGTTGCATGTTCAGCAGTGTCAGGACTCAGAGAAGAGACTCCTGATACAGCTGTCACTCGTTTGTCACTCCACACAGCCACAGGATGAAACACAGTCGACGTGCTTCAAAGACCCCAAGGAGCTGCAGCCGTGTGAAAACTGTTCATGTTGTCAAACAATAAATCTGATAAAGTGTGTCATCCTCCTTTATTGTGTCTTTTTGTAAATAAATGTTTCTCTCTCTCTGCGGTGTTTTTTGTACATTACAGCTCGTAAACGTCGAGCGGCTGAACACTTCCTGTGTGCGACTGGAAAGACGTTTAATTATTTACAGCTTCTCTTTTTTCTTTCATGTCGCTTTTTCATCAGTTTTGAGCGTCGGACCAACAAACACATCTAGTGCTAATGTTTCAGTGTGTGTGTGTGTGTGTGTGTGTGTGTGTGTGTGTGTGTGTGTGTGTGTGTCTGTGTGTGTGTGTGATTAGGAATTCACTTTTATTTGCTTGTTGCTCCACAGGGGGGAGGATCGTACTATTGTCTGTAAGTTAATCATACATTTTTTAACACACACACACACACACACACACACACACACACACACACACACACACACACACACACACACACACACACACACACACACACACAGAGCTCCACCTCAGTCTTGTTCAGATCATACACAGGAGGGTGTGTAGTGTGTGTTCTGTGTGTTGTTGTGTTTACTGTATGTGCGTGACAGCTGCTCTCACAGCTGATTGGCAGTAAAGTGGGCGTGCAGCGTTTATCTGTCTCTGTTGTTCGTACAGTGGTGGTGACGAGCTGACAGGTTGTAGATCAGCTGTCAGAGGCTGTCTGTCAGAAAGACGACACACACACACACACACACACACACACACACACACACATCCCACCACATGAAGTGTTCACATGAAGCTGTGATACTCTACGCCCTGAACATAGCCACAGTAATTCCATTAACGGGGTCGAGCTCTTACCTGGTCCCAGTCTATACTGCGGAAAAACGTGTGTAACTTGATATCTGTGAAGCCTGTCTCGACCTGGCATCCCAGCCGCTCCTTGGGATCCTGTCGGGATAAAACAGTGTGTCAGGAACGTGAAGTGATGTAATGTCATGTCGAGATGTTTAGATGCTGTCAGGATGATTGGTCATAAAGTCACATGATGATATCTCTTATTTCTAGGATTCATCCACACATGTTCTGTACTGCTCACGTTCAGGGTAGCGGGGGGCTGGAGCTGACCCCAGCTGTGATTGGTAGAGAGGCGGGGTTACAACCTGGACTGGTCACCAGCCAATCACAGAGCTGACATATAGAGACAGACAACAAGCCACACTCGCATTCACCAGTTAACCTAACGAGCATGTCTTTGGACTGTGGGAGGGTTCAGACTTCTCACTTTTGTTTTGGCAGCTCAGGGGTTAAAGTATGACATCAGGTCTGAGGTTTATTTCAAACTACTACTTTTTGTATTACTTTTTGTATTAAAATAAACGAGATTTGATCGTTTTAAAACATGTGGTGTTGAATAGTATTGAACATTTTGATCACCTCAGTTTATCGTCATGTAGGAAGAAACAAAAAAATGAAGAAGAGGCCTTGTCTGATCCCATACGTGGAGAGTTGGGAAGCATTGCGCACGCACGCACGCACGCACGCACGCACGCACGCACGCACGCACGCACGCACGCACAGGGGGCTGACTTGGAGTGGACGGCTCTCACCTTGTTGAGAAAGCCCTTGAGCACGCTGGCAGCTTTCACTGACAGAGACCTTGGGATGCGAATGGGTTTCTCGAGAATAACTGTTGGCAAAAAGAGAAAGAGAAGGACGGCAACAACAAAAAAAAAAGGAGAGAGAGAGAGAGAGAAGAAAGAAAAGGACAATCGTGAGCGGGGAGGAGGATGATTCACGGTCCAACCTGCCTGTGGGTGACCATGTCTGCTACGTGGGAGTCAAAGGAAGGGAGGGGAAGCAGAGGACACTGTTCTCTCTCTCTCTCTCTCTCTCTCTTCTGATGGTCCACACGCAGCCTTGAGACTCCCACAGCTCCACAATGTCACACTGACGAGAACAAAAACACTTAGAAAAAGAGTTTCTCCTTCAAAACATGAATCAAAAGATGAGCTGCAGCCTCGCAGATTAACGTTCCATGCTGAGGTGACGTTCAAGGTGATGTGACCACCGAGAGCGTTCCTCCACTTTAACTCAGATTTTTCTGAAATAAGCTGCAGCACCTTTTAAAAAATAAATAACTAGTTATTTATCAGTTACATGTTCTCAAGTTGTTTTTCTGTTGCTGTGTAAAAGATGATTTCATATTCTGTCAGACAATAAAGCTGAACAATGAACCGTTTGTTGGCACCTGAGGGAGTTTCTTCACAAAAGAGAAAAAAAACATCAACACATGTCCGCACAAATAAAACATAATCAATCCTCTTTGTCTGCTTTTTAAAATTCACTTCAAATGGCTCTCAAAATGCAGCAAAGTGGCCCTTAGAGTTTGCTTCTTTTGTTTGTTACCATAGAGTCATTTGCGACAGTCTGCGGCCATCTTCAGACCGCCGTTTCAATCCTCGATACCCTGTGGCGTTTCACTTTCAATCTGAGGGGGACGAAGTGACCCCCCCTCTGTCTCGTCTTCAGAGGTAGTAACAGAGGCGTTACAGAGGAAAGACGGGATCAGCTGAGACAGCAGGGGAGAACAGCGCAGTGTGTGTGCATGTCTCTCTGTGTGTGTGTATGTGGAATTCCTGCTGTGCCGTGCTTCCACAACGCTGAAACACAACGTGACCTCACAGACTGGGACGCCGCAGAATCAATATGAACGTACAAAGACGTGATGATAGCTAAGCTTAGTTAAGGCATATTTTCAAGAAAAAGCAGACTTCTGAAAAAGGCTTGTAACCACTGGAAATATGGGGCTTTCACAGTGGAGGGGTCGAGATCAAGGTCTCTCGTTATGCAGACGATATAATCCTTTATGTCTCTAAACCAGCTTCAACACAACAACAAGCCCTCACTATATTTGAGCTTTTCTGTCAGTTTTCAGGATTTAAAATCGACTTGAATGAAAGCGAAATCTTTCCAATTATCAAGGCCGCCCTTAAATCTCCCATTCAGGGTCGGGGCGAACCATTTCTGTCATCTTAGCGAATTCAGACGTTTTATTAAAAACACATCCGTGTTCGTTTACCTAAATCCTCAATGCAAGTTATCTTAGCTTACAGTTTGTCTGTATCTAATGTCAACCTTTTTATGAATCAGAAGGTATCTTCTGTGATCAGCTGTTGTTGTTAGTTGGTGTGTATGTGGTTCGTTTTATGTTTGGATGTTTTGTGACTCTTACTACAAGTCGTTGACCACATCATTGATTTCGTCACAGCGGGGGATCTCATCACAGTCACGGCCCCGCCACAGAAACATGGGACATTTAATGTGGCTCTCTGTTTTTTAAACCATTTTTATAAAAGCACATCTTCATGTTGATTTGTTTTTTGTGAGATGTTTTATAAATGTTCTTTAAAGGAAAGATGCTGCTTTTACATTCTTCTTGTTTGTTTGGTTTCTGCCCTCCAGGCTTTTTCTAAAATCAAACGTACACAGAGCTTTTTTGTGAGTCGTCTTTTTTTTCCTTCTGTGGTTCATCTGATTAGAAACATTTCCTCTCACAGTCGAACATGTTGTGGAAATTACACCCAAACAGAAAATCATGTTCTGCAGAGCTTCATCATTACAGCTGAATAAATGCTTCAGATTGGTTCCAAATGGTGATGTTAAAGTCCAACCAAGAGCCTCGATGTAAGAATCCAAAAATCTTGGTTTATGACCTTTTACGGTAATCTTTCATTTTCTTTTACATATTTGTGTTGTAGAGACAGTAACTGGACTTTAAGATATAAACACTTGAAGCTCTCTCTAAAACATTTTTACCATAAAAAACGGGTTTTAAACTGAAAATGTTCTCGATTCAGATTCCAACAGAATCTAACGCCCGTCTGTGCGTCTAAATCTCCGTGGTCTGCATGCGGAGCTCTGAAGTCCTAAAGCGGCTCTGGCTCAGGTTCCTGTTCGGTGACATATGGCGTGTGGCTCCTGTAGTGAAAGTCTTGTTTCCCATTGGCCGGCCCTCGTCCAGGAACCCACTGCTCGACCGGTAAGACCGCCAGGAGGACGGCTCTGGTGGCAGATGCTAGCTATGGTGCCATGCCACGCTGCTGACGGTCACAGCAGAGACGCGTCACACGGGGCTCCTGTAGTACGGAGGAATTTCTGTTTCAGGCGACGGAGAGGGGGAAGGGAAGCTTTAGTAGGGACCATATGGCCTGAGGAAACGCAAATGTAAAGAGAAGAAAAGATTTCATGGAGGTCCCTCCATCCTGACGGTGCAATCACAACTACTGTTTGTTTAATTTGGTGCAAACACTCAGACTTTACAGCAAGATACAAAGCAATCCTGTAGGGTAATTGCACCACACTGACACCTGCCATGTGGTGGACACTGTAGCTTCAGTGTTTAGCCAGCTCTGCATGGGTCTTTAAACCTTTCTGCGTTCTAACCTCTCTCCATTTTTCAAAAGCATCTCCAATATTGATCCTAGTTTGAGCACGTTTCTGCTCGTGGAGCTTATTAGAAACATGCAGAGGCTTTTTAGGTCGGGTACAATCACTTCTATCTGAACCAAAACGGCCGTGTGGGGGGGTCGCCTTAAAAGCGCCTACCTTCTCTGGTCCAAACAAATCCAGAGCATTCAGGACCAGAAACTAAAGTTAGAAGGAGGACATACTGGCTGCTGCATTGTTGTCAGGGAAGCCAGCACTTCAACATAGCATGTTTCCTTAATGTCTGATCATATAGTTAGCTCACTTTATCATTTCACTCACTACACATCTCACTAATTGGACCTTTAAAAACATTTTACATCTGTCATTTATAAAACAAACTAAGTGTACTCCGATGCTGAGGAGTCACACACTGAAACACAGCCGGAGTGGATTGAGAGATGACAGCAAACTAAATGGAATTATCATCGGAGAGAAATAAAATTAGCTGTGTTCCCTGAGATTCCTGCGTTTTAATGAAGCGTACCAAAACCATCTAAGCTCTCCGGGTTTACACACACATAAATCCTTTACAGCCCAGAGCTGATTGTTATTCCGTAGCGTGGATCTGTTTTCCCCCCTCTCGCTGAATAAATGCGTCACAAAGGGTTAAATTAACATGTTTCTGTTTAAATGGCACCAAACAGGCGGCCACATGTGCTTAATATTCACATTTTATTTCCCATCTTTCCTCCAAACTCTCGATCCATTCAGCCGGAGAGAAAATAAAGAGAATGGGACCTTTCAGTTTGACTACAAAATAAAAAACACTTTTTTAGGATCTTTGTGTGATAACTCGTAAAGGCCGAGTCCAAACGTTTTAAACTGAGGTTTTCCTCCTCTCTTTCAAAAAAAATCCAGTCCACACACGCTACGTTCTCAAAAACATGAAAAGGCAAAATGGACTATTACGGCCGTCATAACCACCCCAAGTCAAAAACGATGTCGTTGACATGCTAACATGTTCTCGCCATTCCTCTGCAATGACCATATCATTTACCAATTCAGGCGTCTCTGCTCTTCAACATAGTGGGAGAGTAACTGTTTGTGTATGTGTGATTATATAAAAGGCCCAGTTAGCAACGTTAGCACTAGTGCTAGTTTGGTTACGTCTGCCATCGCACTAATCTCATGTAAACTAAAGTGACAGCATCGCACGATGACGTCAAACACAGCGTGATACAAGAACAAAACTCTGTTTTCCCCGTCTACACAGAAACACCATAAACTGAGTTTCTGAGCTCTCAGTGACCTAAAACGCCGTTTCTGTACCAAAAGTGGAAACGCACAGAAATAACTGCCTACATGTGGACGAGGAGTAACTCTCCTGAGCGATGAAGCCCTTTAAATCCTCCAACATTTACAGCTAAACAACGACTACAGCGTCAGCAGTGTCTGGTTCGAGTACCAGCTTCACACCAGAGGACATTTAAAGCGGTTTTATTAAAACCTGGGATCTCTGCTGGAGTAAAGGACACTTCTTTTATCTCAACGGTTTGGTGTAAAGTAGTGAAGAAACTCATCTGTCTTACATCAGTCTCATGTTTCTCATGAAGCATTTTCAGTATTCAGGGATTCCTGCAGCACTTTAATAGTCAAGGCAGCCGCCTTAACAACAGTTGCAGATAATACAACAAATTGATTAAAATCATCCTGCGTCTCTCTGTGAGATCCAACCGCTCTGGAAGTCTGCCCGTGATCCGCAAATCAGTCACTGTTCCAAGAGGAAGTAAATTCTGTCTTTTAAAATGTATTTTTACGTGCATTTTTTGTGGACTTTCAAACATATAACATGTTGTAAAGTGATTCATTGTGTCAAAACGTTAATTTATCCCAGTTTCATCTTGCCGTGTCTATCAGCCTGCTGTCGTCTGTAGCTGCAAACTGACACGCAGGATAACAGCCTCTTTTAGAATGGGTGTGTATGTGACTTCCTGTCAGCCCTCTGCATATGAAACCAGTTCACTGTTAACCTGCCCGGCCTCACCTTGGAACAGGTACTCCTCTGTGTTCATGTCAGGATTGTCGGTGATGATGTCGAACGGAGACCTGCCAGCCATCATCTCAAACATCAGCACGCCCAGAGCCCACCAGTCCACGCTGAAGCCTGTTGAAGGACGCATGACAAGGAGACAAGAGAGCTGTTCAGGTACAGATCGGACCTGAAAAGTGTCAGACTGCCCCTTTAAAGCTGCCTGTTGCTTTAGTCCACCCTTCAGGACCATCTAAGTGAGACTGTTTCATCAGCAGATAAAAAAGGCTGTGCGGTAAACCGTCTCACCGTAGTCCTCTCCTCTGAGGATCTCAGGTGCGATGTAGTTTGGGGTTCCACAGAAGGTACTGGTGGTGTCACCTGGTCTGATCCCCTCCTGAGGAGAGAAGAAGAAGCAGCGTGGTTGATATATTACGAGCAGGAATTGTGTTAGAAAAAGAGAGACAGAAGCCCTGTTGGCACTTTAAATCAATACATATCTCCTGCATTGTGCCCTTCACCAGCGGCGCACAGAGTCTGGTGAGAAAATCGATGCGTCTCTTGCCTTGCACATGCCGTAGTCTGTGAGCTTGATGTGTCCGTCATGGTCCAGGAGCACGTTGTCCAACTTCAGATCGCGGTAGATGATTCCTTTTTCATGCAGGAAGTTCAGAGCGATGCAGATTTCTGCTGCATAAAATCTGTGAAGGAGAAGAAGAAGAAGAAGAGACACAGGGAATGATGAGTCTGAAGTGTCCTCTACTGCCACCTACAGGCCAAATGTATATACTCGATTTAATACTCCTCTGAACGTGTTGCGCTACAGAAGCGTCAAAGTCACTCTAAAGCCGTTTTCACACATACACTCCTGAAAATTTGTTGATCATTTCAGGAGGACTGCTTCAGATATTCTCCTGACCTAGCTGTTCACACATGATGCTCCTCACAGCGGGAAGACTATCCCTGTCAGTGGTATGGGGGTCAGGGGGGTCTACTGAGGCAAGGCATGACGTAAAACAAACAACGTGGAAGTAGCGGACAAAGCAGCAGAGTCCTCCATAGGACTCTATAATGAGAATATGTGTGTTTGTATCAATGCTACGTGTAGTTGAAGAGAATCTCAATGTGAACTAAAGAGTGGAGAAGAACATACTGGAGAACAGGAAACATGCAGCAGCAGGTTCATTAGAGCACGGAGATGGTAGAGGTGGCGTGCAGACAGTCTATGGTCGTGCAGCGATCACAGGGAATAAACAGACAGAGGAGGCTGATGTTAGCCAGGAGGCTAATGCTAACTCACATGCATTGATTAACCAAATCAGCTCTGGGATGAGCCTTATACTGAGCCTTTCAGGGGCCCGACCTTTGCTTTGGGCGGCCTGATGACACCTGATCTGGTCTAAACGGAACGATTCCACTGAAACAATCTGTTCTTGTGTTACAGTTTCCCCATGTCCTGATGTCCAGCAGCTTTGACGAGAGTAAGAAGAGACTCTAAATCAAACTGTTGTGATGATCCAGCTGAAGATTATCCTCATTGTTGTCTTTTAAAAGAAGTACCTATGTTCATTAATCTCATCACATCGACTTATTTTACATCTTTGCCTTTACAGCCGTTTTAGTTTGAGTTCTGATCATGATTTGATGAGTTGTGTGTGTGTGTGTTTGGTGAGTCAGGAGCATGTTTCCTGTTTGTGTGTGTGTGTGTAGGTTGTGTGTTTTCTGTCTCTGGGAGATAAGCCTTCATTAACACTGACGAGCGTCTCTCTGTCTGCTGCTGTGAAGCCGTGATTGTTAAACCTCTGAAGGCAGAGACCGTGTTTGACAGAGAAATCACAAATCCCACATCGCTCCCCCACGTTCTCCCCGTGACAGCGTGCATTGTGCGCCGCTCTTTCTCCACTGGCATCAGACTGATAGAAGTAGCGTCCTATCAGCAGCACCATCCATCGCCCACCGGCCCCGCCTCCCCCACAGCGCGGGGGAATGCGGCAGGGCTCGGTGTAAGAGCGCTGCTCATGAATATGTACAATCATTATGAGTGATTAACATGCTGCTTTGCATATGTACAGCCACCGTCTCCAGAATACAGATTGCAGGGGCCGATAGGGGCCCAACGGTGCCTCTCTAAATTACCCCGCCTTTGATCCAGCATTTATCACAGCCGCAGTTGGAGAGCCCCGAAAGAGGAGAGGCACAATGAATTATGGGTGCTCATTATATTTCTCAGAGGTGGAAAAAAAAAGTGTTAAGTTGGGTTTTGGCAGCGCTGCTAAAACATCCCATTAAGCATCTGTTTGCAAGGAGCGCTCATAAGAAGAACGTTCTGGATGAGCGTAACGAAGCCAAACACACACACACACACACACACACACACACACACACACACACACACACACACACACACACACACACACACACACACACACACACACACACACACACACACACACACACACACACACACAACCTGCTCTCCACCAAACAGCATCATGTGTGAATCACAGAAGAATCATCCGGAGGAGGTTCAATCAGCTGGAACTGAAATAGTCCTGATTTCAGAGATGAGTTTCTGGAGTACTCTGTTGAATGCACCGAGTGAACTTTACCAAAATATAACCCTCACATCGTCCACCTGCGTGTGGCTCGTATGTGAGCCCGTCCTGCAGGACCTCAGCCTGGTCCTGACATGGTTGTATTTATTTATTAATGCTTGTGCATTATGGGTGATGTGCTCTAATGCTGTTTGATGTTTTCATCGGTTAATCTTCACCATTTACATGTTGAGTGTTGTTTGTTTATTGATTCTCCTGCAGAGCCAGATCAGTGTATGCTGCAGTGTAAGAAAGTATCGTATCATAACGTATCATGTTGTATCGTAACCTACTGACTCGTATAGTAAAGTCTCATATCATGTCATACTCTGTAGTCTTTAGTTAGACAGCGTGCAGGTGTTTGCTTACAACACCTGGATGGTTACCTTGCATGTTCTTCAGGGAGCTTCCTCTGTCGTTGCATATGAAACATCAAGTCCCCGCCGTTCACATACTCAATCACCAGAAATAACCTGGAAACAAGAGCAAGAGGTGACGTCATCATAGAGCACATTCGGACCAGAAGAGTTTAGCAAAAATTTGAGAGATTCTCCATTGTGAAACATTTTCCCTGATGAAAGTATGAGAACAAAGTCTGCAGAGAAAAGAACATCCCCTCATCAGAAAGTCCGACTTCATACTCCTGAACAAACTGAGGTGTGGTCTCTCTCTTACCGACTCGCTGTCTGAAAACAGGAGTGGAGGCCGACGAGGAAAGGGTTGGTGGACGCCTGCTCGAACACATGCTTCTCCGTCTGCACCCAGTCGATATCCTGCAGAGAGGACGAGACAGACGCAGAAAAGATCATGTATTAGCAATCAATGAGTCTGATCAATAGACGCTCTCTGTGGTTAAACAGACGGATGATGAATGCAGCCAGTCGGACGCTTTTTGTTCAGATTGGATGAGCAGCAGGAACCACAAAACTTTCTACTTCCCTAAAAGACAGAATGAATGTTTTTAAAGGTGTTTGACTATCCAGATGTTTTTAGGGTGAGTCCAGCTCTGCAGTTGCTATACTGTTGTTGTGTTAACGGGACTGTCTGAACTGTAGTTTTTTATACTTCTACATTGGATTTAATTTTCAGCAACGGAGAATGCCGCGTGCTAAAAAACAGCAATAAAAAGACAATAAATCCTGCAGACTAACTCTAATACGTGTCTCTAGTCTGTCTACAAACCCCCCAATGATGAGAAAAGTCCATCCTCTCCGTCTTCTGCCTGCTCCACTTTTCTGAAAATGTGTGCTCAAACAGGCCGTTTGGAGATTTTCCCTTCATGACATCACAAAGGGCAATAGCCACTCCCACAGCTAGGTGTTTGTTCTGCCCTCTGAGTCTGCCTTCTCACCGTAAACAATAGGACATTGAGCGAGAAACAGCGAGACACCCGAGCCCTTCCAGAGAGGGGGCGTGGTCAGGCACAGCTCATTTACATATTTAAAGGTACAGACACAGAAACAGCCTGTTCTGAGCAGGGCTGAAATAGAGGGGTTTATAGGCATGATCAAATACAGGATCAGAGTGGATTTAGAACAAAAAACTTCACACATGTTTTGAGGAGCTCTGAGACTTATTTACACTGAAGAGGAGGAGGACATGTGACCTTTAAGTTTTAAAGGGACAGCTGAAGACAGACAGGAAACGTTGGGAGGAGAGAGAGTGGAGGGATGTCATGCAGTAAAGGGCCGAGGTCGGATTTAAAAAAACGCTGCGACGAGAACTATAGCCTCCATACATGGGGCGCTCAACATAACTGCCAGACCATCGGCGCTCCCTAAATTGACTTTGCCGTCTTTGCTTTGCAGGAGTTCAGGCTCGTCTCTTATTGACGTCTGTATCTGTTTAAATGTTCACACTTCACTCACAGAGAGGCTGTGCTCGTTTCGCCCCGGGCCAGGATGTTTTATGCTGATTTAAAGTGTGGTTAAGTCGATGGTAGTTAATAATTTATGTTTATTATACCTTTAATTTTGAGGACCCCTCGTTGTGCTCCAGCAGCAGCACATGGTTAATTGATCACATCACAATAGAGACCCCATGTTGTGATCATGATACAGAACTCTTCATAGTTTTTAACCCTGCAGGATCACAGACGATGGTCATCACAGTCTGTGCAGAGCATGCTGCCCTTCAACGTCAGGAATTAGACGCCTCCCGACATGAATTATTAAAATTAATGTGCATTAATGAAAACAGGAAGTCCAATAAAATCATGAATAGGGATCCATAATTTCCTCAAATCTTCTTCATTAGAGATAAATTTGATCTTTGTGATGCAGCCTGTTTGGTTTTTGTTCGTATTAAAGTTGATGAGGAGTTAAAGAAATAAAGAAAGTGAGGGGAGAGGCTCTGCAGATGGTGATGATGACGCTCTGCACACTGAGCTTCAGTCCAGCTTTATGTGCTGTGTAATTGGCATTTAGAAGAAGAGTTAAAGGTTGAGCAATAGCGCCATCTGCTGGGCTCCAATAACACAAACTCACTCTAACAGGAGTCAGCTCTCTCCTTTTTCCAGACACAAGTTTCTATTTATAAGAATCTCTCTGATGCAAATCTTTTTAAAGGTACAGTGTTTAAATAATTTATAAACTTATTTTGTGTTTTTATTGTTTTTATGTAGAGATGAATCAGCCTGCAGATCTCTTTATAAAGACTGAAGGCGGCCATGAAACAGAACTCAAGAGCGCTGTCACATATTTAACGATATGTGGTAAAAAGAGACGTCCAGCCTAAAGGCAGAAGTTGTGCATCGTTAAAGGGACATGTTCCTTACCTCTGTCTATTTGAGTAAAATTAAAGGTGCAATCAGTGAGATGTGTAGTGAGTGAAATGATGAAGTGAGCTTACTATATGATCAGACATTAAGGAAACATGCTATGTTGAAGTGCTGGCTTCTCTGACAACAATGCAGCAGCCGGTATGTCCTCCTTCTAACTTTAGATTCTGGTCCTGAATGATCTGGATTTGTTTGGACCAGAGAAGGTAGGCGGTTTTAAGACGACCCCCCCACATGGCCGTTTTGGACGCCCCTCGGTTTGCCAGATATGAGAGCAGTTATCAGGTCAAACCAACAGGTGTTGCAGCGATGGAAGTGGGCAAGAGAAGTGGTTCAGATAGAAGTGATTGTACCCAACCTAAAAAGCCTCTGCATGTTTCTAATAAGCTCCACGAGCAGAAACGTGCACAAACTAGGATCAATATTGGAGATGCTTTTGAAAAATGGAGAGAGGTTAGAACACAGAAAGGTTTACAGACCCATGCAGAGCTGGATAAACACTGAAGCTTCAGTGTCCACCACATGGTGACCTGTGTGAGGATGGACTCTAGAGAAGAGGGGGCGGGGGGGGGGGACAGCTCTCTACAATGTTTTGAATTTGGACTGCAGTACCCATTTTAAACATGAGGGGTCAGAGTTACATACTGCTCCTTTAAGTCATGTAAATATTTATTTTCTTAATGTTTCTGCAGGTATTAGGATTCATGCCTCCTCTCCAACACATTGCATTTAAGTTTTTAGTGTTAACAGCTTTAAAAACTAAAACCATCAACATGATCCAGCTGGATTTAGTGTAAAGAAATGTTTTCTGTAAAATGTGTGAACTGACCCTTTAAGAGGTTCAATCTGGAGTATTGTAAGTCTCCTTTTTTTCCACGCACACCGCAGAATGAAGCAAGTCTCAGCATGTGGAGACGAGGAGCGTGCATGCTCTGCCAGCTTCATCCACGATAAATAAAACATGTGAGTGGTGTGTAAGTCTGCATATCTCCTGCTGTAGGAGCATTATGCAGACTTTCCCTTTTTTAAATGGATTTCACGTCATGTTCATCTGGCAATTCATCACAGTAAAAAAAAAAGAAGAAAAAAAGATGATCTTCCCGGATTCATCCTCCTGTGAGTCACCCACTCACTTATTCCTGCTTCCTGCTAAACCCTTTTTTTCAATTCATAAGCTCTCCACCACTTTTGTGTCGTCTCCACCCACGCTTCCACCGATTTCTTCTCCCTCATTCCTCTCAGGCGCTCCCACCAGTCTCTGACGCAGGCCTCCTCTCTTCCTGTTACTCACTCCTGCTTTCCAGCAGCTCCGTCTCTTTCAATCTTTTTTCATACATTTCAAACGGTCCGGCACATTTTGAATCTTCGCCCTCGGGACGCCGCGCCCTGCACCTTTCATCCCGACTGTTTCACGCTTAGAACGAAAAGTCGAAGAAATTACATGGACGCATGAATACAAAAAAACCCAGCAGTGCTCTGACTCTAAGGAACACGAGCTGAGAAAACATGTTTAAAATTCTCCTCCACATGCATGAAACGACGTGTTTAACCCTCAGATGGGTTTAACCCTCTGATTCCTCATAATATTCCTGAAGACGTGCGGCACCTGTTCTTTCTTTCATGAGCTCCACCTTTACAGAAAGTAGTCCAGGAACTAAATGTGTCAAATCCTCATTTCTCTGGTAAATGGACTTGAGCTTGAGCTGACTAATCCATTCCAGTGGGAGTAACTTGGTGTTAAGTGTCTTGCGCAAAGACACATCGGACATGTGGTAGAAGGAGCTGGGGATTGAACCCCAGACCTTCTGGTTGAGAGATGACTGACTCCACCACTAAGCCACAGCCACCAGAAAAATAAAAACTAGTCACCGGTTTAATTTGTATCTCTGGAAACTAAAGTGGGACTTGAGCAGATCCAGTGTTCAATTTTTGTTCATTTCCTCTTTTCGGTTCTTGATTTTGAGGTTTTTGGCTGCGTCCACTCACCAGCGTCATGATGGAGTTAATAATACATCCATGGAAGGCTGGATGTTGTCAGCTTGTCTCCTCTCATTTCAATGCATGAAAGAAGCCGATTGGAGGACTGACTGTCTGAGAGAGCTCACGAGCAGGAGGCGGAGATGTTTGGTGTTTTAACTCTGGAGCTGCAGGAAGCTGGCCTGTAGTTCTGTACCTGTCCCTCCCGCCTCTGTGTCACCTCTAAAGTCCGGCTCAGTCTGCAGGATAGTCAGGTCGATTTGAGGTCCGATTCTTTCCCGACAACCGCAGGGTCGTTTGAGTCGTATAAGGAGCCAATTTAAACATCCCTGATTTATATCAAACATTCTTCACCACAATAACCACGAGAGACGAGGGAGGACAGTAACAAGTGGACACAAGTAGCGACCAGTAGCAGGACGCAACCTGCACAGGTGAGCTGATCACCTGGAATGCATCTGACCGTTACAATCTGACCTCCAGCTCTTAAAGTCTTTATATGTTATTTTTTTGATCCAGCAGATGTCGCCCTTGAGCACCAGCATGAAACCAAAACAACTCGCGGTGCATTGTTGTGTTAGCATGCTAATGCTAGCGATCTTTATTATGCTCGTATCTTCACACTGCATGTAAATTTACCTGAAATGAGCGTGATCTAGAAACACAGTTAAACAGTGAGTACAGTATGTTATTCTTCTTTTCTCTAGTCCCTCAATTAAACAACTTTTATACACAAGGGGAGGAGTCAGCCGGCCGTCCGGGCGATGTAAACAAACTGACAGGACTCAGGAAAACTCTGAAAGCATCACAGACAGTGGGACTCGGGTGTTACACCCATTGTAGACAGTCATGACTCACAGAGTTATTTTCAGAGGATATACTTGATTTCTATTATATTTAAGTGTGAAAAATCACATATAAAGCTCTTACAGAGATCGAATGGAAAGAGTCCGTATAGATGACGGATGGACGACTTCATTTAGAGTTTGGATCTGATCTCTGTATCTCACCTCGTCGTCATGGACCAGCTCCTTCTTCACCACCTTCATGGCGTACACCTGCTCGTTCTTCTTTAACCGCACCAACAGGACTTTGGCGTAGCTGCCGCGCCCGATCACCCGGATCAGGTCAAAGTCCCCGAGGCCGAGAGCGAGACCGGGAGACAGTTTGATCCCGTCGATGCCGTCCACCACCGCTTTGATGTCCTGCAGCGGGGAGGAGACGTCAGGGTGGGACGAGGTTTAGTTATTCTTATTAACAGTTAGTTCAGACAAAGCATCATTTAAAACTACATTCATGTTTAACTTCTTGCAGGTCTTTGATGTAAAACAGGATCAGTTTGATTTCTTTAATGTTCAGATTTAAGATAGAAGAAAATAAAGAATCTATGTTTTCTAAATTACCTTAAATAAAAAAGGATTCACTCACTTTTCCAAAAATATGACATAAACATTTTATATCAAACACAACATGACTTCATAACTTTACAAACTTTAAGGAAATACTCGTCTCACCTCCACTTCTCCATCCTCCGTTTTATCCACGGTACAGTTGTGCGGTAAAAACGGTACTGAAACACAGGAGAACATTTAGAGACCGTCATGATCTGAAGTCAAGTAAGTGTTGTTCATGTTTTCAGCCACTAGAGGGAGGCAGAGCACAGAGAATAAAGTGCAGAAACTAGGTCACGCTACAGGGAGTCCCCCTCCCACAGCTTCTCACATCAGAGACCCAAACCACAGACGCACCTCCACATCGGCTTGGAGCCTCCGTTTGAAGATTGAACTTTGTGTTTAATGGAGAAGATTCTTTATTAGATTAGAGATTAACTATTATAATTCAGAGATTAGTCTCTTTTTTAAATTTAAAATGCAGACAAATCCATCAGAGATAGAAAGAGGGACAAACAGTGAAATCAGGATTAAAGAAGAGGCACAGTGAGTGCTCAGAAACTTTACATGTGTGTTAAAAATATTAAATTCGGACTCTTTCATTTCAAACGTTATCAATTGATTGGTCGATTGAACTCTATTGTCAGTCTAAAATTTGTTTTGCATCATCAACATTCAAACACCAGACTAATATTCAGAGGCCTTCAACACGCTCTGATCTGGGATTCAGCTCCAGATTCAATCTAAGAATCGGCTGGTGATTGATGGACCCTGTCTCTCTGGTTTGATGGTCACAGTTCAAAGTCAGAGCGTTCAGAGCGTGGTGAGGGTTGGAGACGACGCTGTTAGCACTGAAGCCTTAACATGTCCGCCTGCAGCCTTAACATGTTAGCATGCAGCCCTAACATGTTAGCATGCAGCCCTAACATGTTAGCATGCAGCCCTAACATGTTAGCATGCAGCCCTAACATGTTTCTATAGAAGGCTGATTCAAAGAGTCTCTGGAGCAGTTGGTCTTCAATGATCAGATTTTTAATTGGTGGAGCAGTTTAGACTTTAGTCAACGGACACTTCCACCGTGAGGTGTTAAAGCTCTTTATGACACTGAGAATCACAGACACATGGACCAGTTTGGGAATCTTTGTCCAAATGTTACTACAAAGTGAATCCCAAACATCGATGTAATCTGTATCCTCATAAGAAAAATAAAATGTAATAAATAAAGGTCTTTCTTACTCCTGTCTGTGTCCTCTGTGTCGTCTGGTGGAAGGTCCACCTCGTCACCTTTTCCATCTGAGGGGGGCTCCTGTGATGGCATAGCTGGATCCTGAGCAAAGACATGCAGAAGGTCACCTAAATATCCTGCAACACGTTCCCCCAAACATCCCCTCAAATAACCCCTGACATGTCCACTCAGGGTTCGACACTCCTGGAGCAGAGTGCAGTAAATCATGTCTGCAGAGTGATCGTTCAGAGCTGCTCTCTGCTAACGTACGGACGTGTTTCTGCTCTCTGATGATGATGTGGATGTCTCACTAGAAAAGAGGTTTAATTATTTCTTAAGTCCGTTATCTGCGTCTGAGGTTGCAGCTGAGATAAAGAGAGGAAACAGATCTTCTTGCACTGGAGGAACATTGATTTCTTTGTCAGGAGTTTGTCTCTGTGTGTTGGGTCAGATGTGTTTATGTAACTGAACTGGTCTCGTCTCTAAACTCGGAGGTCTTATTTGAATTAAATGATGAGGAAGAGCTGCAGAAAGACAAACAGGACATTTTTGAGGAAAGCTTTTCAGAGTCATGTTTGAATGCATTGATCTCTGTGATCTGTTACAGCTGCTCAACATTGTTTACATGTTCAGTTATGTGATCGTTTGCTGTTGTCGACTGTTGCCACAGCCCGGTGACTGATCAGTTTGATTGGTGGGAGGAGTCGTACCTCCAGCTGAACATCTCTAAAACTAAAGATATGATTGTTAATCTGCTGCTGGAGCACAACGAGGGGGTCCTCAAAATTAAAGATCCACTAACATAAATTATGACCCCCCCCCCCCCCCCACACACAGCCATTTTGGACGCCCCTCAGTTTGCCAGATATGAGAGCAGTTATCAGGTCAACAGGTGTTACAGCGATGGAAGCGGGCAAGAGAAGTGGTTCAGATAGAAGTGATTGTACCCGACCTAAAAAGCCTCTGCATGTTTCTAATAAGCTCCACGAGCAGAAACGTGCTCAAACTAGGATCAATATTGGAGATGCTTTTGAAAAATGGAGAGAGGTTAGAACACAGAAAGGTTTACAGACCCATGCAGAGCTGGATAAACACTGAAGCTTCAGTGTTCACCACATGGTGACCTGCGTGAGCATCCACTCTAGAGACGAGGGGGGGGGGAGACAGCTCTCTACAATGTTTAGAATTTAGACTGCAGTACCCATTTTAAACACTAGCGGTCAGAGTTACATATTTCTCCTTTAAATTGAAATGTTCTTCCCCATATAATATCTCTTACCTGTTATAAACTGTGCAGGCCTTGTTTTATTATTTATTATTATAAATTAGATAATTATCTTGCTCATGTTGGTGTGTGTTTTCTGTGTTGAACACATCAGTGGTGTTTGCATGTCCTCCTCACAGGATTGCGTACTCACCATAAGCGTTTGGCAGGTCTGAGGGAAGAGTCTGTGACAGCGCTTATGGACCAGCAGTTTGCAGTTGATACACTTGTAGCCCTGCCGGCCCAGCCCCCATATCCGTTCACTACAGTGGCCACAGTCGGCTTTCTGTAAGACAGGACACAAGCACAGAGTTCACCTCACATACTGACAGGATCAGTCATTATTGATTCCTCATCAGAGGGTCCATTAACAGGAAGCACCGAACAGTAAATGACGACAGAATGAGACAGACGTACACCAGTTTCAGGTGAGGGTGCTGGAAGACAAATCTTTCTTTATGATGATGTCATTCTTTCTGCTGCACAAACTCGTCTTTTATTCATTAATTTGAATGTTCAGGATTATTAAAGGTCACATATTCTCCTCTTCAATCAGAGTAAATAAGTCTCAGAGCTCCTCAAAACGTGTGTGAAGTTTCTTGTTCTAAATCCACTCTGATCCTTTATTTGATCATGTCTATAAACCCCTCTATTTCAGCCCTGCTCAGAACAGGCTGTTTCTGTGTCTGTACCTTTAAATATGTAAATGAGCTGTGTCTGACCACGCCCCCTCTCTGGAAGGGCTTGGGTGTCTCGGGCTTTCTCGCTCCATGTCCTATTGTTTACGGTGAGAAGGCAGACTCAGAGGGCAGAACAAACACCTAGCTGTGGAGTGTCACCCACCTGGGGGAGGGGCTACTGCCCTTTGTGATGTCATGAAGGGAAAATCTGCAAACGGCCACTTTTCACACATTTTCTGAAAAGTGGAGCAGGCAGAAGACGGAGAGGATGGACTTTACTCATCATTGGGGGGTTTTAGACAGACTAGAGACACATATTAGAGTTAGAGAAACATGGTGAAGTGGATTTAGAATAATATGAGACCTTAAATTCTTAACAGCAGCAGCCCATACGACAAAATTACACTTCTTCTGGAAAGGAAGACAACGTCATTTCCTCCTAACTGTTGATGAGAGGCAGCCGATTGGGCATTGGACACACCAACCAGCGCGACACACTCTCCTCTCGCTCGTCACAAAAATCCAAAATCATACAGAAATCTGAACTCAAAGGAAAAGAGAACGGAAGCTGACGACACGGTCCGTCGGATCGCGGTGACAAGACGCCTTCAATCAAGAAAGCGCAGCTGTCTAGCTTCCACTCTTGTTTATTAACCAGCTCTTAGTTCATTTCCTTTGTTTGTATGTTTTGTTTTGGTTGCGGCGTAACACTGGAAAATATATTTAATGAAGACCAGATGGTCACTCAGCTGGAAAGTAACTGTGCATGAACTTCCATTGACACTCTGGAGAGTGATGATGTTTGTTGTAATCCATATAGCGCCCTCTGCTGGTGACAGAGAACTGCTTGTTCAGTTTTCTCCTCAGAGTCCCTGGACATCAATAAATCTGTCAGCACAAAGTCTCTCTGGAGACCAAACACTTAGTGTGTGTGTGCGTGTGTGTGCACGCTGACAGTGTGAAGAACAAAGAGCCTCAGTTCGAGCTCTGTTGCCATAGAAGTGCTTCAAAGGCTTCCTTCAGTCTCGTCTGACTCGACTCAGAGGTTAAGACGTGTGTTTTTAAATATTCGATAGCTTTTCACCTTTCTGCTCAGCACACTCGACCTGAGAGGGTCAGGTGTGTACAAGGTGACAGAGAACTGCTTGTTCAGTTTTCTCCTCAGAGTCCCTGGACATCAATAAATCTGTCAGCACAAAGTCTCTCTGGAGACCAAACACTTAGTGTGTGTGTGCGTGTGTGTGCACGCTGACAGTGTGAAGAACAAAGAGCCTCAGTTCGAGCTCTGTTGCCATAGAAGTGCTTCAAAGGCTTCCTTCAGTCTCGTCTGACTCGACTTAGAGGTTAAGACGTGTGTTTTTAAATATTCGATAGCTTTTCACCTTTCTGCTCAGCACACTCGACCTGAGAGGGTCAGGTGTGTACAACACCTGTCGGCCAATCAGAGAGAATTAGAACATCTTCCTTTAATTCATCAGAAGACCTCAGAGTCAGCACTTCTGTTCCACCAGGTTCCTTTCAGCTCTTTTATTCAGAGGTCTGAGTGAAGTCAATACAGAGGCCTGCATTCTATCTAATGTCCAGCAGGGGGCGACTCCGCTGTTTGCATGAAGCAGGCTGTTCTGAGGCCTTCTATCTCCACCTCTCAGGGTTCACAGGTCGTGTCTGTTTGGAGCTACAGATGTCTTTATGAGTCTCCTCACTACTATCTTAAAAAATCACTTTAGTTCAGTTAAACTTCCACAGAAAATAAAGGATGTAAACAGTAAACTCATTGAAGTGTACACACTCAGTGCAGGTACGTTTATTGTCCTTTGAGTTCTGCGTCAGAGCAGCTGAGTCCGTCTCTGACGTCCTTGACCTAACTGGACGTCTTCCCACCGCTCATTGCTGCAGAGGAGATGTAATCCCTGAATCCTTGCCTGCTCCACCATCACACTATGATTTCATTTACTGCAGGATTCATCATCATATTCCATATCAAAGGGCATCTGCAGGACATGACGTGTAACTCAGACAGAGTCCAGTCCGACCAGCAGCAGGGTTTGCAACCAAAAGATTCAATTTAAACGACAATAAAAAGATGTAGTCATTTTATTTGAGGAGAAACTGTCAAACTGCATTACCCAGCAGGCATGAGACTGAGCCCAGCACAGATGAGGAGTTTATCCCTCCTCTGTGGGTCATGCAGGGAGCTCTGATTGTCCTGCAGCCGGGAGATAAAAGGATGAGAAGATGTGATCGATCGACTGAGTTACAGATCATACGAGTGCCAGGAAACTGACCGACCGGCTCCATGATGAGAAATGATCACAGACACAGAAGAACTCACCTGACCGCAGACATCTGATTAAGTCTGAGCAGTGATAAAACCACAATGTTCCTAAAATCAACCGTAAATATTAACATCACAACACGACGCAGCATCCAGAGAGAAGAGACGAGACAGGCAGCAGGGGACGGTTATAATAATATCAATAAACTGGGATAATAAGATTTCAGATACAAGCGGCTGAAATTAGTTTCCTCCAGACGTTTCAGGCATCTGATTAGGATCCTCCTGGACGCCTCCCTTTGGAGGTTTTCCAGGTTCATACAACTAGGAGGAGACCCCCTAGTTCAGACAATACCAACATTAATTTCTATAACCCACACAGCTACTTCTTCTCTTCTTTTAAAAACTCTTAACCAACTCAGGTGATACAGATCTGCGTCTGAAAACATGCATCTGCAAACCTGTGCGGCCATTCTGCAGAAAAGAAAGGCTTTAGGCTAAAAGTGAGGAAGACCCTGCAGTGGAGTCATGTGTTAACAGCCTGATACCCCCCCCTGCTGTGAGCCTAAAAGTGTCCTGAAACACCCGGACAGCCAGGGGAAAGAAAACGCCACAGCTAACGGTTAGCATGGTACCAGACGGGCTCTCAGTTTCTGCTGTGTGACAAACAGAAACACAGGAGGACTGAGAGCACAACATCTGAAGGTAAATATCAGAGATTAATGTTTGTGTGAACACACGCCATCCCTCTGCAGCCTGCTCTTTAGTTTATTTCTCTGCACGGTGAGATTTAGGTGTCAGTCGCCCCCTGATGGAGCTCCTGTGGAGGCGGACATCCAGCAGAGACTGAATCTGCTCCATCAGCCAGAGACAGGAGCTAAAGAGGCCCCATTACGTCTAATGGGAGGGATCCACAAAGCAGCTTTCTGCTCTGCAGCATCAGGGGGAGACGGAGAGATGAAGAGGAGGGAGGGAGGGAGGGGGGAGACAGACGTGTGCAGACTGAGAGGAAGCAGAGGGATGGAGTGAGAGAAGGGAGGAGAAACCTGACCTACTTCTCTCGGGCTTATTTATATGCTGAGGACAACTTCATGAACCAACCAGCAGCCTGCAAACCGGCATAGCAACAACAGTCAGACAAATCCCAGTCGGAAAAAACCTGCTGGTTACCAGTTCACACATTAACTGGGAGTGCTGGTTCTCTGTGAGTAACATCATACACACAAGAATTTAGACCCACTGCCTTCAGATTTAAACTGTAAGGAGCCAAAGAAGACTCAGTGTCCACCTGGCGTTTTATTCTGAGCGTCTTTTTTAAATTGTTTTCAATGAGTAGAGAGTAGAGAGCGTTCGCAGCAGCTGGCGGGCGCCCGGAGAAAACTCACAGCGCATCGCGTCTTCATTCCAAGCACAGCCCTCATCATCATCATCATCATCATCATCCTTACTGCTCTATCTGGTGGTGCTAATGTACATCTCTGCTTTTACTGAACAGGCCTGGCTCCACGGAGCAGCAGTACTTTAATAATGACCACATCGAGGGCGTGTGTGGATGTCCGAGCAAAGTGCTGAGTCAGAAAGATGGCAGTGCACTGAACTTCTGCAGAGACATTAAGACTACAACACCCAGGGGAGAAGCTTTAAAGCAAGAAGGATAATAATAAAGATTTAACCAATTCTTTTTTTTTTACCCTGAGCACTTCCTCCTTACTCTGCAAAACTGTAAAACTTTAGTTTAACAGCTGAAACAGACAGAAGTAAACACTTTACTCCACACAGGAAGTGACAGAGAGAGACAGTTAACATGGTCTGAGCCTGATCTACATGTCCTCTCAGGTGTTCTCTCAGAGTCTCAGACTGTGTTCAGAGCATCGTGTTTGTCTGAAGGCTGCTGCAAGGATTGGATTCATGATAATCGACAACATTCTGGGGAAAAGTCAGACCTTTAAACAAACGACAAAAACACAACTTACAACAATAAACTGTCTGTGTTACTGCTCAGCCAATGAAAGGCGTCTGATCAAACCTTCAAAACAACTCACAACTCCCGGTTCCTCCCACCCCCCGGTGGTGGAGTGAACATCCAAACTCCATTCGATCTGCAGAGTCCCTCTGCACCTTTAAAAAAAAGCTAAAGACCCAGCTCTTTATGAATACCTACTAACATAATGATGATGATGTTTAGGATGGTTTAATGCTGATTACAACTCTCAAGAACAGCTGTCGATGTTGTGCTCTGTCTCTGGTCACTTCCTGTCAGCACCTCTTGTCACTTCCTGTCAGCACCTGTGTGTCCGATCAGACTCCTGACGTTGTCTCCTCCTATCTAGATCATCGCTTATGTCGTTCTTACTCTCTGATGTTCGTCGCTTTGGATAAAAGCGTCTGATAAATGAGCAGTAGAATAAAACGTGACCTGGCTAAAGCTGAAATCAGCTTGAAGTAAAAGGCGTGTTTCTCAAGCAGCAGCAGTACCTCGTCTTCTTCTTGCTCCATGCTCAGATAAAAAAACACATTGAGTACTTAAAGGCCGGATTGAAACAGCTTAATGTCTCTCTACTTCTTCTGCGTTACAGAATGAGAACACTTCAGTCTCATGTTTCAGACGAGCTGCTGCAGAGAAATGATGAAAGCCCACACGTGCTGCAGGTACCTGTGTGTGTGTGTGTGTGTGTGTGTGTGTGTGTGTGTGTGTGTGTGTGTGTGTGTGTGTGTGTGTGTGTGTGGTGTGAGTGTGTGTGTGTGTGTGTGTGTGTATGTGTGTATGAAACAACTTCCAAACAAACCATAACTAGAACAGCATGAATTATTCATCCATATCCAGATAGCTTAGCATCAGCCGTGACTTGATTACCTGCTGTCATTTATTATTTATCTGCAGAATGTTTATGACACACTGTCCCATTTTCTGCTCACACACACTCTGACACGCTGATTTACAAGAACACGCACACATCAGTGTGTGTTAGAGAGTGTGAGTGGTTTATTAGATACACGTCTCGGACTGGAAGTGAACCTTGTGAGCAGCTGCTGACTGCTTTACGGTGCTAGTTCACACAGCAGCCCTCAGATACAAAGCAGACAGTTAGCCTGTCTCTGTACTGTTTGATACAACAACTGAGAGGAAGAGGAAGAGGATGGAGACGGAGGAAGATAATAATGTCCATGCAGCAACCTCCTGAGTTGAAAGATTATGTCTGTGATGTCACTGTGTGTGTCTGTGATGTCACTGTGTGTGTCTGTGATGTCACTGTGTGTGTCTGTGATGTCACTCACCCTGTTAAAGCGTTTGGCCTGGAAGAGGTGTCCGTTGACTCGGTACAGTTTCCTCCATCTTCTGGCCCCGCGGCGGTAGATCGATTCTACGAGAGAGAGGAGACGGTTGTAGAGTGAGATCATGATGGAGGAGGAGGAGGAGGAGGAGGAGGAGGAGGTGTGTTTGGAGTAAAGGGGGAGAGAGATGGAGGAGATAGAGTGGGATGATCGTCCTCGATGTGAAGAGTGAGTTCAAGTGAGGAGGAGACGACCATCAAGTTACTGTGACTAACACGCATGCTCGCTCACAAACACATTAACACACACACCTCCCTGTCCACTCCCTTTTCTCCTCCCTCCCTCCTCCCTCCCTTCCTAAGACCTCGCTCTCTCCTCTTGTTTTGTTCCTGGTGATGAATAGATTATCAGAGCTTCAAAACTCTTTGATTCAGATGAAGGTGAATCTTTTTATAAACCGTCATGGCGTCGACTACTTTTACTCCGCAGGGCGTCAACATGCAGCGAGCTCAAACTGGAAGGTTTTCTGAACACCTCAACTGGGACAGCTGAGGAGAGACAGGAAGTGATCACATGCAGCAAAGGGCAGAGGTCGGATTCTAACCCACTGCCGCTGCGACGATGAATACAGCAGCCTTTGTACATGGGGCGCACAACATAACCGCTAGGCCATCCGGCGGAGACAGATCTGGTTTAAATAAAGTTTAATTAATGAAAAAAGGCGGTCAGAAACTGTTTAATCAGCATATCTTCTCTTCCTCCAGTCCTCTCCGAGTGTACGGATTAGATTTCAATTTCAGCGTCTCAAACGATAACTCAGCGAATAATAAGAGATCGCCACGGGGGGAATTATCACAGACATACAGAGAGCTGTTATATTTCTATCAGCTGTGACGGAGGCGGAGCCAAAATAAGAAAATAAACTGATGTGATGTGACAAAGGAACTTGACATTAAGATCTTGGGACATGTCGTCGTTCATACGTCGTTCTGACCGACTGAACCTGCAGCTTTACAAATCAATAAATCATCACCCTCTTCACGTGTTTTGCTTCTTCTCGCCACACAGGAACCACCTGAGCGTGAAGTGACCCGGTTGGCTGAAACACATCAGGCGTGTGTCCCCGTCTCCCCCGTCCTCCCTACTGCCTCCCCCGGTCTGTGCTGGTCTCCAGTCTGGTTCTCTACTCCGCTGATGGGTGCGGCTGAGATTTCCTCTCTTTCTGCCTCTGTTGCCATGGTAGCCACAGCCCACCATATAGCAGCTATTATTAGTTATCTGTGGATGTGAGGGCGACTTTGTCTGCAGATTTACAACAAATCACCTCTGGACTTCCTCTGAGAAAACGTTTCAACTAGAGCTGTGTGTTTAGATCTCTGCACCCTGCTCAGGCTCAGAGTCTGTTCTCCCTTCTCTAGATCTATCCTTGATGGTGATGTGAATATGTGTCACATTTTTGGCAAGAAGAGCCCGTTCAGTTCCAGCCAGTATTTAAGTCGTGCTCGTCTCTGAGAAGGATTTAAACACGACGGCTAACATGTAGAACATGGCGCAGTGAGAGAGGATTAAAACCCTGCAGTAACGCTCTCTAACGGGGACGTAGATGTAAAGTCCACAGATATACACGCAGCCTGTGTGTGTCGTCTCTCTCTCTCTGTGAGTCAGGACAGAGGTCAGAGGTCAGAAGGAGTGAAACCGAGCAGGACGGAGACACAACGTGCTCTTCCTGGTTTCTGTCTGTAAACTCGCTGTGATCCTGTTAACCTGAGAATCACCGCTCTGTGTTTCCTAAATCACCCCGCGGTGTCCTCCCCTGTGCCTGAATCAGGGAGGGAGAGCGAGAGAGAGAGAGAGAGAGAGAGAGAGAGGGAGAGAGAGAGAGAGGGAGAGAGAGAGGGGAGAGAGAGAGAGAGAGACAGAGAGAGAGGGGGAGAGAGAGAGAGGAGAGAAGCTACACATCTTGATACAGAGCGTGTGATTTAATAATTAATTGTAACAGATGTTTTTACAGAAAGGTAAATTGCAGCACTTAGCGGGACGTCTTTAATCAGAGAGCTGATGAATGAGAGCGTTTGTTTGTCTGCACACTGCAGGCGTCAGTCTCTCGGTTTCAAATGAGGAAAATCACAACAGTAACCATAAAAGAGCGAGTTATAAATGAAACGTTTTATTGTACTTTTGGACGGCACGATGATTTGTTTCAGCACAGCTGGAAGAAACAACGTCACAGCAGAGACAAACCTGAGAATGCCGTCAGCCATGGAGTCTTTAGATAGTTCAGGATAAACCAATAAAGGGAATCAATCAAACAGCATCAAACACAACACAATTTATCTCTGAATGAAGGCTATAAGATGACGATACTGTTTCTCATGGCAATAAAAAGAGTGATTTATTCTTTCTTAGGGATGTCAAACAATCGCTTTTTTAATCATTTTGCAATAAACATTATTAAGCTTTTAATATAAATTTTTCCAATTTCTTTGGCCCCGTGTCCATCTGGCGCTGTTTTTTACGGGCAGAGAAACTCCGGGAGTTTGCAGAAGCGTTTGTGCACTGAAAATAAAACAGTCTGTTTTGACAACGGCCACTGTATGAGCGACACTGCTTCTTTACTTTTTTCTGTAAAATCGTTTATTTCCCGATCAGACACGGAGCGAGGAGGATGTGGGTACAAGACACGAGCTGTAGGCAGCAAAACTACGGGAAATATCAAACATTTGGACGCTGGTGACCAAAAAAAGTAAGGAGGACAAGAAGTTAAGCACAGAAACAGGAAGTGGTTAGGGATCCCAAAGTGAGGTCAAACAGCTCAAAGGAATGGTAACAAAAGGTCAATGTGTGATGTCATAAGGTCAATGTGTGATGTCATAAGGTGGATATTACTTTGGAATCGTCAGCTGAGCTGTCTAAGAGTTTGTAAAAGTGAAATGAGACATTCAAAGATGCAGCAGTGTCCTTCTTTTACATCACTGAGATTACAGAGAGTCACTGAGGACGCTTCATATTTACCACAGATAACTTCAGCTACAGATAAAGACAAACCGAGTCTTAAATCAAATCAACAGCAGAGCGTCTCGACTCGAGGCCTTGGGCGCACCAGGAGCGGCTCTTTAAAACGTGGCGTGTTGGATTCATTGTTGCTGCGGGGAAGTGACAGAGGTAAAGAGAGCTGCAGGTGAGCAGGGGATGTTGGAGGAACACAGAAAACACACACAACACATCGTCTTCACGCTGACCCTGAGATCGCTAAATTTAACCCACAGCGTCAGATTTATGAGATTCATTCATCCTCTTCTGCTTCTTCTATAACGATCAGATGTTTAATCCCCAAACAGACGATGACAGCCTGTTGAACCGCTCCGCTTCCAGCTGTTGTTGCTGCTGAATGCTTCTAATTAAAAATCTACTCCCGCACCGAGGCGAGGTCAGTCTTTCAGAACTGAAGAAGAAGAAACACACACACCTCTATGAGACCTTCACAGACTGACCTATCACAACTCTCCTCTCTGGAGATGCAGCGTCGCATTGCCCCATTTCTCCTGCCAGAGCGAGAGTCAGACGGACAGACACAGAGAGAGAGAGAGAGAGAGAGAGAGAGAGAGAGAGAGAGGGAGAGAGAGAGAGAGAGAGGGAGAGAGAGAGGGAGACAGAGAGGGAGAGACAGAGAGGGAGAGAGAGAGAGAGAGGGAGACAGAGAGCGAGAGGGAGAGAGAGAGAGATGGAGAGAGAGAGAGAGGAGAGAGAGAGGGAGAGAGAGAGAGAGAGAGAGAGGGAGACAGAGAGAGAGAGCGGGAGAGGGAGAGAGAGGGAGAGACCAAGAGAGAGAGAGAGAGAGACACACAGAGAAAGAGAGAGAGAGGGAGACAGAGAGGGAGAGAGAAAGAGAGAGAGAGGGAGACAGAGAGGGAGACAGAAAAAGAGAGAGAGAGAGAGTAAAGGAGAAGATTCAAACACTTCCTCTGAATAAAAACACACAAAGTAAGTACTACACCTCCGGATGCAAACGCCAGCGCGCATAGTCCTGCCATCCTGAGCGAGGAAGGTCTGAAGAAGAGGAGCGGGCCCGCGGCGCTGACGCTGCAGGCGAACAGGGTGGTGCTCGGAAAACTCTCCTCGACAGGACATTTACGAGGGCTGGACTCACTTCCAGACATTGTTCCTCTCACTCGCAGGAAAGTAGCAGCGTGCAAGTTACCAACAACAACACTGCCCCTCCCTCAAATCTCAAATACCCCTCTGAGAGGAGCGAAAAATACCCAACACAAGGCCTGGGGGGGGGGGAGTAATCTGAGCTGGATGGTTCAGGTCCTGAGGAGTCAGCAGGGTTTGTCAGAGATCAGGATTACTGGCACAGACGCTAAGCTTCGCACCGCTGCAGCTTTACCCTTTTACATGTTACATTCATGCTTCATATTTAAATGACAGTCAGAGAGCCCTCTTCTTTGGGGCTCTGTTTTCAGCTGCACAGTTATTAGGACCGTGCATCTTCACTGGTACCAGTCCAGGGTGTAACACCGCCTCTAACCCAATCACAGCTAGGATCGGCTCCAGCCTCCTTCAGCTTCCTCCAAACAGAGACTTTTATCTACTGTATGTTGTACGCTTACTGCTGATGAGAACTCCATTCAACCACACTTCAGAAAATACAGAATATCCCTTTAAAATCCCATTTTTTATCCCTCTCAAAATTAAAACAAATATTAAAAGGGACATATTATGAAGAATGCACTTCTACAGTGTTGTTGAACATTTATCTGGGTAACCTGAGTGTCTACTGACCCACAACATGTGAAATAAACCCATCCAGTCCTTTGTGGTCTGCATAAGTCTTACAACACAGAGAAAAATGCTCCGTTTCAAATGTGCTCTCCTTGTGATGTCACAATGGGATTCTGGTAAAAAAAATCCCCTCCCCTCCCCTGGTATCTCCACCCATGGACTACACCCCCAGCCTAGAACAAAACTTTAATGCAGTTCCGCCATTTTTATTCTCTCTACAGAGGAGTGATGTCTACTGGGAAAACTCAGGGGGGGTCATTGCATTTAAAGAGACACACACACCAAAATGAAGCGTTCTGAGAGAGCT